TGGTTGAATTCAATTCTGACCCAGTTACAGGTTATATTCGCTGAAAGGGTGCACACGTTATCCTTCGACAGTTGAATCAATCGATCATAGAATACATCACGCATCGATGAACCATATTCAACACTCACTTGAAGATAGAATCGTTGAAGGATGGTGAGACAATAATAAAAACGACAATAACAGAGACAATGAGAATTTTATACTGAAAATTGTTAGCTTGACAGTTTTATACTGTCTGGAATATTTTAGTGACTTTAAAATCGTAGAAATAGAGAAATATTTATTATCCCAATCGAATAGTTAACTTATAAATGACAGACGTATTTATTTCACTAGAATGATCAATAAATGGTCTGTTCAGATTTAATCGAGCTATTATTTTTCTAACCACATTGAACTCTAATTAATCACCGACAGTTACAAGAAAAATGAGACCATAAAAGGTATTATGGTAAATTGTATTAACTCTACGTAAAATGAAGATTAAACGTCTTAATGAAATTATTAATCATCATTAATTCAACAGTATCCTAATTAAATTGTTAACATTATATCACCTTAAACAAAACTTATTTTTCTATTCCTTCAAACACTTCATGATAATCTAGGTATTATGTTATTATTATGAGAAATAAATGGTGAAAATGAAATAAAAATTTAATGAACAAGATAAATAATAGAAAAGTTATTTCTGTTTGTCTCAAAGACGTAAGATGCTTTATAGTATTAGTTTATCCGCTATAAACGACGTAGGTAGGGCTAAGAGGACCATTTAAACTGTCCACAAAGGCGAGTGGAATAAGTCACTTGGTTTAGTGTGGTGCAGTTCTAACCCACCCCAACGTAATACCATCCAGTATTGTCGAGAACAATGCAGGAGGCGATATAGCATTTTGCAGCTAAAGACCGCGAGAGAATTAACGCCGGATGAATTATTACAGATTGTAATACGACTAGAAGAATACTGTTTTCAGAGAGTGTCCAGGGACTAGAGGTATTTTTGAGATATGATAGTAGAGTGTTAATTACACTTTTTTTCCACTCTTTATTTGACCTTTAATGACTAAAATACTTTGCAAAAATTATTTCTCTATTATTTAAAAAAATATAATGTAAACAATTTAATTTTTATTTTGCTACTTTAATGTAATGAATTTCAATTTATTTTAACATTTTCTGATAATTTATTCGAAATTGAAAAATAGAGTGTAAATAATAACTGATATGCACAATTTTTATATCAACTGTATAAAACTGAGAATTGTCAACAATAAAATGCAACACATCCAAGTTGAGGGTTAATAAAAATCTACGATATATTTGATGAATGAAATGCAGAATATATCAGTGAGAAATATGATACCTTTCTGACTTCGCTGTCGATAGAACGCTTTAAAAGTTATCACGCTCAGTTAGAGATGCTAAAATTGCACTAAAGCGAATCCTAAAACATGCTTCCACTCTGTAGCATTCATCCGAACGTTTTCGAATAAACGAACCGCAATGGTGGCGTTTGTCAACCGAAAAGTAAACACGTTTAAATAAAATAAACGAATTTTCTTTCTATTTGAATTGCAGCTAAAAAAAATAACACAAAAATATATCAATTAATCATTGATTTGTTCACTCATACATTTCAGGATAATCCTGTTTCATTAAATATTTGTATGATTTTTTCAGTTTTATTCATCGTAATTCTTCATCAAATAGTAATTACTAATTTTAATCAAAATTATTCATTTCAAGGAATAACAAAAAAAATAATTATACATGTAATCATGGTGAAAGGACGATTTTAAAAGTGTTTAAAAATCAAATGTAATTAATGAAAATATTTTAGTAAGAAATAAGGTTGTTGATATTTTGTATAAAGTAGTTGAGTCTCTTTGTCACTTTTGCCATGAAAACGTCAAAATCCTCTTACATTTGACAATTGACAAATTTCAAAGCAGTAAGAACAATATTTTTTTTTTCTTTAGGTATGAAAGGATCTTTTTAAGAAAAATACGCCGAAGTAGAGAAAAAGCAAAAATGGTGAGCCAAAGGAAACTGGGCTAACACGGTCGCTCTCTCTTATAGTGTCGTGGGTGTTAACGTTTTAGCACTGCTCGAGCTTTGCTCCTTCTTTTCGTTTCCCACCGTCTAGTCTCTTTCGCTCGAGTTTCCGCAACGCGTTAGAGCTCAACCCACTTTACTGGAGCAGAGCTCTAAATTTCTGCAAATTCCAAGACGGCGAGATCTCCGGCCTTGCCATAAATCCGAGACCCTGGACGTATCTCTCTAGCACGCAAACCTTACACCCCTTTCTCTGTACAATATTCCCTTTCGCTTCTCTCAACTACTCTACTCCTCTCACAATAAATTTGCCACCAGTAAGTTAAATATTTATTTTAATTGACCCTAATCGGTAAACGTGGCTTTAATAGCCACCCTTACTATCCCGAAAACACTATCATCAATTCCGGAAAACATTCAGCTGGGACACAAAGCAGATGAATCTTTGAAGAAAAAAGGTACGTCAGTTGAAATTTATTTAAATTTCAAGTGATGATGGTAATTCGTTGAGAAAGATGCTTAATTTAACTATTTAATCTTAGTTGAGTTTAACGATAATTAGAGGCTCTAATAAAGCCCGAAGGGAACTCTAAGATATTCCAAGCTCTTGATAAAACAGCTTTTCGCCTTGCTCAACCAAACCCCTGTGTTGTTTCAATAGTAAGGGGAAAGAAAACGGACGATACTGTTTCCAACAAAATCAATTATTTAGGTTATTCTATAACCAATTATTCACCTTCACTTTTTGTATTCTCCGTTATTAAAATATTTGTCGTGAGCTTTGATTTTTTGTTTAAATTAACTTTAGCAAAAGTAATAATATCATAATTATTTCAATGAGAAAAGTTGATTAACTATTATTTCTTCTATTTATAAAGAATACAGATAGAGACAAAAAGAAATTTTTTTTAGATTTTTAAATGTACAGAATAATTGTTAATAAGAATTTTTTGATTTCAACTAACTACGTATTTTTAACAGGATATCTTTTAATTACGGAGCTATAATACTTTTGATAAGGATCATACGACGAACTTAACGAGAAAGAAAAAAAAGCTCTAGATTTCCACAAAATCCGTCTGTCGAATTTATAAACGATCGTTCTCATCCCGATTTCATTTCACGACCCGTCGCACACCAACTCGTTTCCGGCCCGTCTTCGTTCCTTTACTCTTTAAACCCTTTATATTCATTTCCATATTCCACACAAAAATTTTGTTATAATGCAAATAAAATTAATTGTAGTTTTTTTATCGATATCTTTTGTCAATTGTATTGACGATAAATATTTCGATGATTTCGCAATAATAAATTTGATTTCGTAAAACTATGAATGTTATAAATCTTTTTAATCTCGATCTTTTCTACTCTACATATCAATGAGTATTTGATAAAATAAACAATAAAACTATTCCATATTAATTTCTGGTAATACCTAAACAGCGAACATATATATATTTTTTTTTAATTTTACAAATAAAAAAATTTATCTACACATAAATTATTTAATGACAATTTGATGATAGAATTAGAAAATATTTGATTTTTAACCTGATCAATAATTTGTATGCATTGAATCAAATTTACTTTTTTAACTTCCCAGTGGGAAGTTATTAATATTTGATTATTGAATTACAGTATTGACAACCATAAATGTAATTTGATAAAAATAACTTTGCAATGAAGATGAAAGAAGTTAAAAATAATTGTAGTTTTCTTATAAGATTAATTAGGTCATGTAAATTATTTATTGTGATTTATTTTACAAATTCTCAATTCACATGGTTAATTTCAATTTTGCCTATTTGTAAAAAAAGTAAAAATACGATACAAAAAAGAATTTCAGTATCACATAATGTGGATGGAAACTTGCAATTGATAACCGCGGCTTTCTTCCCCTCTTAAAAGAATATACTAGAGATAAGAATTTTCTCTTCAATTTTTGGGTTAAGGTCAAACTACCTTTGGGGCGCGGATTTCCTTTGGTTTCAAAGCAAAAGGGAAGAAAGAAGATAAAAAAATGCGTAAGGATGTCGCGAAGAGTATTGACGTCAGCCGGCTTTTAAATATTGTATCCAAGTCACGTTCTAGGACCCGTATCTACCCCTTACCTCCTTTCTTTGCCCTCTCTCTATATCCGCCACCCCGTGTACCAGAACGTCGCATAACTACCGCAAGGTTTCTAAGGAGACCAAGAGGAGAAACGAGCAAGAGACGACCTGACACTCGTTCTTGACGGCAAGAAAAAGTTAAGAAAAAAACGACCAAAAAGAAAGAAAGGAGTAAAAAAATTCCCTTAGACCTGGTTAATACGAGCGCTCAAGTTTCTCAGTTTGATGCTTGAGCAGCTTGATGAACAAGATTCAAGTTATTTTTTATTATTTCATTTTGAAAGAACTTCAGGTTCATTATTAATTTGCAAACACGCGACATATTTAAAAGCAGCATTGATCGTGATCTCAGGATTATTCTGAGCTGGTAACTGTCAGAACTTTAATCTTTCGAAATAGGTGTAATCTCTAAACTAAAACACGATCAATTACGATTAAAAATCTATCTATATCACAGGTAATCCTATTCGAAGCAAGGAAAAGTCTTAAAAATAACTCATGATTAAAACTAATTATTAAACAATCATCAATATGAAGAAGCCGATTTTGATATTAAATTATTCATCGGAAAAAAATTTGATTGAATTTCATAGAAACACCATTTTATAAAAAAAAAACTTACATAATGTTCAAATAAATGAAAAACACTAGAAAAATAATTTACGATGGCTTTGAAAAGAATTTTAATAAGAAAAGCAGTCATTGTCAATCAAAATCTTGATTATCTTTGACCTAACAATTTCTTGAAGCCAGCAAAAAAGGTTGGTATAGGATAAAATAATAATGAAAACAGAAAATAAGTATTTAAATACAAAGCAAATTTAATAAACTTACCATGAAAAATCTTGTATGCGTCTCTTACGAATCACTGTTTATACCAGAGCTCTTGTAAATTGTTAGAATAACACTTTTTTTCTTTTCTTTATTTCACAACAACAACACTAACTTTGTGTATGTACTCAACGTGTACTTGATGCGAAACGTGTAACACGAGGATTGCAGTTTTTTTTTCGCCCTTTTCCCTCTCTCCGTCCCTACGCGTTTCACACACTCTCGCGTGGCCTTGACGCGTCACGCGCAACCAAATAAAATGTTCAAGACACAGCGAACGACAGTTTACACGAAAAACACTTATTACCGAACGTAATTTTGTCCTCAATTTGAACTAATAACAATTCTCCGACAATTTAATATAAAATTTTACACTGTCAAAGCACGATTACAGTATAAAGACGCGAAAACGTGTCACTTAAAAGCGGAGCTCAAAGTCGCGCATAAGGTTATGAGAGAGGGAAACAGAAGACTGTCGCCTGCGCTGTTTGGCTTGTGAAGAGAGCGTTATGGCGTTAGCTGAAAGTAAGAGAGAGACTAGGCGGTACCAACTGCTCCTATATTCCCCCTCCATACTCTGTACTTTTAACCCTCGTGGCCGCGCGCAACCCCTCTGTGTCAGGAACGTGTACTCAACTATCAGTACCCTCTTTTTTATTCATATGCTCTTTACTTACATTATTATTTCTGTCTTTTGTTTGTTAAAAAGAGTTTCATAGAAAATTGTTGAATTCTCTGAACAAAAATGAATCTTATTTAGTTAATATTTTGTTTATTTTATTTCATAGTTTTTTAAATATTCAACTTATGGTTAAACTCAACACTTAGTTATAAACATATTTTTAAAGAAAAGAACCAAGGCCCAACCCTGTTTTATGACTTCAGACACTTGGGTCATACAAAGGACTCTTTCTTTATTAAGTTTTATTTGGTACTCTATCTTCAGAGTATTGCATGTGTTTTATTTATTATAACCATCTGTAATGTTTAAACAAATAGAGAAGAGGCTTAGATCTCTTTGTCTAAATAATACTTCAGTTTAAAGTCTTTAGTTAGTTCTGTACGACTATCTGTAATGTAAAGACGTTTTCTCTAAATGCAATCCGTGATAATAATAAAGAATTAAGTTATAATTTTTGAAAATAGAAAATCAACTTGTACTTGATTATTTCACAAATACCCATCCGAACTTCCAATAAAAATAAAGAACATTAATCTTTCGATAAGTTTTTAATCCACACGTAAATTAGTTATTTAGCATTATTTCCAACTTGAAAAGCTTGAACTATGTATAGTAATGTGTATGATATCCTCATATCATGTCAACTGTGTTCTACAAATAAATGCACACATGATTATCGGATTATTTTTTTTTTATTTTGGTGATTGACAGCAGCAGTAAATTTTCCCGCGCAAATAATAACTCACTCACTCGTGATTTCTTTGTTACTCAACACCGATTTTTAAAATAAAAATAAAAAGATGATTACTTAATTTTTTTTAAATTATAGTTTGCTGAGTTTTTCTCGATTTTAATTCCCAATATGGATAGAGGTGAGTATTGATAATGTATCAGTAGCTTTGAGCTTATACTTGAATACATATTTCTTGAAAAATTATATAGTTTCATGTAAAAAAATGAATTTTTATGAATTAGTCTCATTAGTATGAATAAAAAAATTTATGGCTTGACTTTCCGTTTGATTTTCGCTTTAGGTCTTTGATAAATCAAAGTTATCCAAACTTTAGTTACACCAACTTCAGTTGATGGCAATCACCTGAATATCGAACGAAAAACTGTGCCGGTGGAATTGATGGAAACGAGTAATTGATGAGCAAATGAACGGAATTGGGAATTCATTGAACGTTTTGCGGCTGGACTATTCTCTTCAAGTGAGAACTGTTCTGTCTAACAATGAAATACTCGTTAATGGTTAAAGCACAATAGAAGTGATGTAATGTTCCTACTAAATCTATATGAAACAAGTGAGTGAATGAAAAAGACGTAAAACGACAATAGCTGAGTAAATATGTAAAGTGTACGACAGAAATCAAGTGATGCAAAAAACTTGTGCAATCAAAAATACAAAAAATTATTTTTTCAAAAATAAAAGCTAATCAGTCTTTTTTCTCTTATTTACTTATCTTTCTGCATCATTAAGATTTATTTCCAACATTAAATATATCCCAACTTAAGTTTTGTACGAATGAATTTCATCAATTTATTAGTAATGATCTCTATCAGTAGACTACTTTTTTCGGAGTAAAAAACTTGGAGCAAATTTATCTTTGAAGGATGAGGAAGAAATAAGAATATAAATACTGACACAAAAGTTGGTGGAACATCGAAAAAAAAAATAGAGAAAAGAACTTGGATTTTTTCCACTCACGTACATGATGACCATTTTTTCTTCTTTCTTTTCTACTTCTACTTCTGTCCCAACTACTTTTACCTCTCTCTTGTTTTATGTCCAGACATTCTAATTCTTCGTTTTACTTTCTGGGTGTAAATCCACTACTCACAGATCTCTCTAGCAAGTTTCAACGAGTCAGCATCCATTTTATTTTATTCATCCATGAAAAATGAGCAAAGAATAAATTTTATTTTCAAAATTATATTTTCGATTCATAACAGCAAGAATGAGAAAATGAGAAAATAGAAGAAAAATATGGTCGTTAAGAAAAAGTATGTGGTGACTAGTTGCCAAGCAGTTTTAATGATCTAACAGTTTTTTGTAATTAGCAGTGGACTTTTACACTGTACCTCTAGAAGGTTCTGCCATGTTTCGAATTAAACAACTTTACTCTACGACTGCTCATTACAATTTTCATTTTTTTTACCAATAATTTAATCTTCACTCGTTTTTTCGTGATTGATGCTAAAAATACTTAGTCAGATTTTTAAATTTCAGCTAAAAATAGCTGTAAATATTGTAGTATAATATATTAGATTTTTAGTATTCTTTTTTTATTCATAATAATTTTAAAAATATTCTATAAATTTTTTATTTTTTCAGAAACTTCAAGAAAAGTTATGCCCTTTTGTTATCAATTTCAATTAACTTTGTATACACTAATTAAAAATTGAACCATCAAAAAAAATCATGATAATCTCCGAGGACTGTAATGATCGTGTTTGCTCACAATTTTCTAGTTACATAAAGAGCTTCTGAGTTTGATAGAGTTTTCTAAAAATTTCTCTTGACTGGTTATCAACTTTAATTGCTTTTGAAATCCTTCTACAAACTTCAACTAAAATTTTATACTTAGAAAAACTTCAATACAATCATAATATAGAACTCATTCAATTTTTGATTTGACTATAAAATTAATTCATTCTCATCTCATATTTAGTTAATATACCGGAAAAAGAGTGAATCTTAGTAATTAAATAAATATTCAGAGACATAAATAACCACTTTTTATAGTGATGTTGAAACAAATCAGTTTTATAATGCTATCAAGAAACCGATTTGCTGTTATTATGTCTGATAAAAATAATTAAAGACATGTTCTATATGTGGCAATATTGCAGACTTTATTAGCAGTCTTTTATAAGACCACATAAAGTTTTATAGATAATGCAGTGCTTGAGTATACAAAAGGTCTTTCTGCAGCAAGGAGTGTCTCTATATCGCTTTACCCATTGCTACCAACTACACCTTTATTCGGTAGCAAGCTCCATACAAATACATTAGCCGGGGCGAACGCATTAGAAGGTGATTGTAATTTCACACATGACGTAACTCACCCCTAGCTTCGTTTTCCTCTCGTGCTTTCCCACAATTCTCTCTTCTCTTCTCTCATATCCCTGTACTCATCTTGCCTATGTTCTGTATACATTTTCCTACCGACATTCACTGACTAATACAATTAATTTCCTCTCTTCGTCTTTTATATGACATTTTATCGTATTCTTGGTGCTTTATGACGTTGGCTCACATTAAGCCTCAAGAAAATTAGTACAAGAAGATTAAAAATTAAATTTTTTATACAAGTCAACGTGAAGAAAATAAGGTAACGAAACAGTTTAATGTAAAAATTGTCTTAGAATAACATTTTAAAGTTATGTACATTTTTTTTACAGAAAAACGTGAAAACATATGTACATCTATTTCCTACGAACTTCATATTTTCTATTCGTATCGAAATTTCATCGTGTGCTCCAGCAAACATATATTCACATACACCTCTTACCTCACGAACCTTCGCAAATTTAACGTTACCTCCTCGGCTGTTATCTGCGATATTAAACATCGTAGAACGACGCCAGTTGTGTCTCTAGAGAGTAAGAGATAGAAAATAAAAGGTTAACGGAAAAGAAAAAGTGCGAACAGAGCTTATCAAAAATTAAAATTTCATTTCCACGGTCATTGTAACTCTCTACAATGTAGATGCAATATTACTTTTCTCTAGAGTCTTGATTCTGACAGTAGTATTGTTGAAATACGAAATAAAAATGACTCGTGTAAGTGAAGAATAAGAATGATAAATAATTTTTTAATCCAGACGAAAACAGGATTGAATTAAAAAAATGAAGAAAAAAAATAACTCAAAACGCAATATCACTTGTCAGGTGGATGTAACTCTTTTTTCTCTATCAATGAAAATTGTAAACATATATAGGTGTAGTATTACTTTTAGTAAAACGAGATATGAATTTTATTTCAAATATTCAACTCACGTGAATAACAGTATTGTTTGAATTTAATTTACTAAGAAATTTTGAAATATTATGTTTTTATTTTAATGCAAACTAAATTTTTACTGGTCCTATTTTAAAATCACGCTGTTTTGTGCAATTACAACCCCATTATCTGCTTGTTATTAGAGCATGTTCAAAATATTCGTTGGATATTCTACGTTTAATCCCGAACAAATTCATTCAATGCATTACTGGTAAAACAAACAGCTTAATATGTTGATACCTTAATAAATAAAATAAACGATAGAGCAGTGAGCTTATTTTTTTATTTTAAAAAAAGTTAATCGTATAAAATATTTCAGCCTTTATATATTCAAGTCACTACATATTAAAGCGAAATCTAAATAAATATTCACGTTTAATTTATTTTATTTATATTAGCTTTATATTTTGAGTGTGTGAATGTATTCCACACTTTTCAAGTGCATTAATTTTTAAGTATGCTTTAGAAAAACACTCAATGTTTCATTTTTTTATCCTTTAGGAATCAAAATATGAATTTACAGTACTTTAAAGTTGAGTACTCTACAAATCTAAATGTGTTATTCTTGTAGACACTTTTAACACACGAAGTCTTTTCAATGTTAAATGCCGTAAACAAACGAAAGATTTTAATACACTATAAAATGTGTAAGAAATGTCTACAAAGCATGTATAGTTTGTTCATGAACATTTTACATTTAACACACTTTATGTGTGTTGTTTTAACACGTTTATGAAATCTAGGGATTTGCAGTGTATCTAAATATTCCGCTATGAACCGATTGTTATAACTATCAGTATACTATCAATCACCAAAACTATTCGTTACTGTGAAACATTGACGATTTCCTAAATTATTGGAAAAAAGGTTCGGTTGAATGTGAGAAAGTACAGAGAAGAAAAAAGACAGGACAAAATCAAATGTGAAGAGGGCTGGAGTTCAAGTGTGGCCATCCACAAATACTAGAGCCCTCCCGTTGTCACCCCTTTCAGAACCAGAACATTCTTTCTCTCTTTTATCTATCATCATCTTCCTATACATATGCCTTGCACGTATGTCCTCACTTCCGATGTCTTTCTCACTCTTTTTCCCTCGCGACCCGACGACCTCGTTGGAAATCATTTCCACGCGAACAATTGTCAGACGTTGTCGTATTGGCTTCGATCCAACGTTATCGATTTACCAATGTCACTAGCAATAATCGGCTCCAGAGACCACTGGATTCAGCTGATAGCTCAGTACAGTAAGAACACAGTTAAATGCACACAAGAAATAATAAAAATAATATAATAGGGTTTGGATTAAATTCAGTAGAAATAATTGACATTAGTCAAACTATTTTTCACTTCATGTTGTTATATCTATAATCTGCCATTTGGACGAGATCATCTTTCTAATATTGATTCCCTTTGTACTTTTTTATTTTATTTATCTTTTAACCAAGCTATTCGACCAATATGAAATTAAAAATTTAATATGTAGGTTGATACAATGCAGAATAAAAAATTAATTTAAATGTAAATTAACCGAGAGAAATATTGAAGTTTAAAAAAAAGATATAAATAATTTTTTTTTTCATTAAAAAATTTGTAAAATATTAAAAGTTGTTCGAGGTCTATAGGTATGCTTTTAAAATAAATTTCTTCTAGAATTTAAAAGACTGTGTAACATAAGCTTAAATTATGCATTTAGTCAAATTTAGATGCAATTATTTTTAAATTCCATTCTTCAGTGAAATGCATTTCCGCACTATTATGCAATTTAAATAGAAAATCTCACGTCATCTGTCTCAAATTTATCTATGTAAAATTATTTAAATATTTCACGTTTTATTAATAAAATAAATAATTTACATTAGAATATCAGATAACATTTTTTCGTTCCATAAAGAACAATGCATTTATGAATAACTGTATGCAACAAAAATATAACGTATGACTTAATTGATAACAATGATCAGCACAAATCAGTATCAAAATTCATGAAAAGGATTACTATTCATGACGAAGGTTCATTTGAAGCGGAAATGTCAACTTTATTGCTAATCACAACAATTTTCATATCATTAATAAATAAAAAACAAGCTTTGTTAAAAAAAATTTTGCTATATAAGTAAAAAAGAAGCATTTCGTTACCAGTTGTGTACGAAAAGTATCTCTATTTGGTAGTAAATTTTCTTTCTTAAAATTTATTTAATATTAATCATAAAGCAAAATCCTTTTAAACATTTTTATTGACAAATTATTGGTTACAGAATTGGAAGTTCAATAAGCGTTGAAAAATGAATACTTATGTAGAATATATAACAGTTAATGGGAGTAATGAAATACGATCAACACTTAAAAATATACAAACATTGCGAAACCAAAAAAATTTGGAAAACAAAGATGTAACTAAGAATAAGGAAGAAAAAGAAGAAATTAAATTCATAGAACTTACTGAAATTTTTGCTGGAGATCTACCTCCAGATTTTGAGAATTTAACTGATGTAGAAAAACATCAGGTAGTAAAGAAATTAGTGACGAGAAATTTTCCAAATCAGCCTGAATCTTTGAGTGAAATAACTGCTGGAACTTTCTTCCCTGGAGAGCATACTAGAAACCCCGATATTAAACCTTCATGGTATGATGAAGAAAAATTTTTGCGAGGACAAAAATTCGCCCAGGACAATTATGTCGGCTTGTTTTTATCTGAACTTCTATCATTGTTTTTACTATTCTCTTTTGAAGATGGTTTGAAGCCGATTATCTTCACTCAGAATACATCAGAACCCTATACTTCATTCAAAAGGTAACTATTAATTTTTCAAATTACATTTAATGTTTTAAAAAATTATCCTTTTAAATTGTTAAAAATTATTTCAACATTCATAGGTACCTGTCGCTTTCGTCTCGAGTAAGAAATTGGTATACCACTTGTCCTTTCACTAAAGGAACCCCAGCATACAAAGATATTCAAGTAGTCAAAAGAATGCATGGTTTAGCAAGAAAAAAATTTGATAGCTCTACCAATGAAGAAATTGACCGAGTTACATCACTTAAAGATACCTGGGCACCGACAAGAGATTTATTAGTAGAAGATTTTCGAGAAACATGTGAAGCACCTTTGCCAGGACAATGCCCATACGCCATGAATGAAGTTAAAGGTAAAAGACCAAAAGGATTAAGTCAAGGAGAGATGGCTAGTACTCAGTGTGCATTTGTCTGTCTTATGATTCTTTATCCTGAAAAATTCGGAGTACATGATAAGTGTGAAGAAGATTTAGAGGCATTTTGCCATTTATGGAGAGGACTTGGATTTTTACTTGGCATTGAAGACGAGTAATAATAATCATAGTATTTTGTAAAACCATCAAAATTTCACATTAATAGATACCTTAAATTTTGGAATTATTTTAGATTTAATTTCTGTCGAGGAACGTTAGAAGATGTGAAACTAAGATCCAGGAATTTCATAGACTACTGGGGCAGACCTAACTTCCGTGTGTCAACTCGGGAGTGGGAGCATATGTTGCGTTGTGCACATGAAGGGAAACATTGGTATTACCCTAGAATATCTTACGAAATGGATTTACTGTATCTCACAGAGATGCTGGAGTTGAATATGCCACGGTTGAAAGCATTAATCACACCTTCTGATTGGATTACGTATAACATGACCAAGTATGTAGTTTAATATTAGTAAAAATTTATTAATTACAGAAAGCAATCATTATTTTAACTTTGATTTCATTACAGATTCATCATAAAATATCCGTTCCGAGTTCCACAAATCAAATCTTTCTTCAATAAACATCTAAATCAATCTATTGATCGTGCATTAAAATACGATCAAAAAGAGCACGAAAAATTACGTGAAAAATCTGCTAAGATTATTAAAGAAGCATCAGCTACAGGAGTTGATAAAATTAGACACTCCTCATTAAGTGATAACATCGTTGCACAGCTGAAATTTGTCAAGATATTCATGTCATTTCTAGTGTTTTCTGTCTTGTGGAGAGCTATCTCATTTTTAATTTAATTACAGATATAAACAGATACTTTATTAACCTTTCTCTGACTTTCTGCCTTGTTAAAAATAAAATTCGTTAGCAGATAGCTGATATTATCAAATAAATTCTTAAATGTACATAAATAAATATAACTCTATGGAATTAATATAAATTGGAATAAATTAATGGTCAGTTGTGCTAAATACATTCTTTAATAAAGATTATTTAAATTAAATTTACTTTGGAATTTTTTTTCGATATAGTTTATATGTTTGTAGCAATAATTTTATAATCAAAAGCTAGATATTTGTTTATTAAATTGAAAATTTTTTCCATAAAACATTATTCGTTCTTGGGATATAATTTCTCAAGACACGTAGATATTTTTTGCTTTCTTCTAACTACGTGTTCAACGTTTTTTCTTTTAATTCTCTCCTCACCTAGAAATTTATTCTCCTGCATTAGTACAACTGATGAATTTTACTTTTTTCATTTTTATGCTTTACTTTCCATGCATTTTTCTACTTAATATTTCTATTATCTGCACGATATATATTTTTTCCCGAGAGTTCTTTACTCAAGATATCATCACCAGGATATTTATAAAAACAAAGAATTCACTATCTGCAAAATTTTCAAGTAATATCATGAAGAATCTTTTTTTCCCTTTTTTTATTTCATTTAATATACTCTAGTTCATTTGTTAAATATCATTTCAAATTACCTTCATTAAAACTGTTAGTTTAGTTCTTTTTTGTTATTTTCACAGTTTAAATTTCTAATTTTTTAACTAAAACATCTATGAGTAGATAATTCAACATTAGATACATTAACTGACATGAACTTCATGATCTTTTACTACGTAAAAATGTCTTTAAATTATAATAACTTAATTATTTAATTACAAAATAATAATATAAAGACGAGTGAATAAATTCTGTAAAATTTAAGCAACAAAATGATCACTACAAACTTCTAGATCACCGTAAAAAAGTTTTGTTTGCTCAAAAAAGGAAATAACGACATCATTAAAGAAGATGTAAAGCATTTTTCAATGTATTCAATCAGCTTTTTAAAAAAAAAAAGAAATAAACGACGTACTGAATATGAGGGAATGTACTTTTTCATATCTTTGATATGTCAAAAGTTTCTTGACTTACCTACACCATCTAAAGCATTTGGAAGAAATGTCGAAAGATATCAGACGGATAGAAAAAGCGATGAAAAAGAGAAAAATGAGACATAGAAAGATGAGGTAAAAGCAATGAGAGATTTCCTACAGTAGTATAAGGTGGATAACGTGTCCCTGAAGTGCAGTAACCTCAGTAAAAGATCCTCACCTTCTTGGAGGCCTGAGTAGACCTTGTGACTCGTGCAAAATGTATGCTCCTCACCTCGCGTTCTCTCCTTGCTAAATCGAGCGTGTCGAAGAAAACCACCCTTTGAATCTTTTGGAATTTCCAATCTTTTATTCCTCAGTACTAAGACCTGCCACTAAGATACGTACAATCCTAGACCCTAGAAAGCTAGACCATTTTCAACATTTTAGAGTAAAAAGACGTTTTACCATCTATCACCAATAGAATGCATTCTTTTCCAATCATTTACGAGCCACTTGGTCTTTTATCGACTATTTAAATTTACTATTCGCATAAACAATTTATTTAAACATTTTTGAATCATTGTATTAACATTCCTGGCAATAATGTTAATAATTATTTTCATTATTTTATTCAATAAATAACTCTCAAGAGAATTTTCAAATCATTATGGTAGCTTCAGCCGATGTGATTAAAATTTTCTGACTATTTTCATTAATACTTTATCACTTATAATTGCTTTGTAATTGACATGGCACAGGTCCAACATTTATGAGCTAAACAAGGGTTAATGTTTGTGATGGCCTGGCAATGCAAAATAAACAAGTACCCTTCTATTGTGCTGCGTCATATATACCGCAGAATGCTATCCGAAATGTTTCAATGTTTGAGTGTTGTGATGATGTTATGAACAAACGTATCCTCGTATGCAGAATTCATGCCTATTCACGTCATCATTTATTGAAAGTTACTATTATATTAATTTTATTAAAACTGCTTTGATGGAATTTATGCTTTCAATTATCGTCCGTTTTAATACTGACATTTTAAATGATCTTCAGTTAATTAACTATATTTATATAGAAGATTACTTTATAACTTATTCGTACCCATATGAAAAAAATATTTTTTTAAATATATTTTATTTCAAAAATAAGGAAATACGGGGCAAGACGGCTTTTTCGATTTTTCGTAACTTAGTAACATCATAATATTAAAAAAACAGAATTACAATTCTGACTCTTGAAAAAATATTCATTACGGAATAATAAATGAGACTTCAACGTTTCCAATATTGTTAAAGGTTGGATTAATCAATTTAAAATCATTTCAATTGTAAATTTACGTTCTTAGTTTATCTTTCATCTTAATGATTCATTTATTTTATTTCCATTTTATCGACTAATACCGAAACAGACATTAAAGAATAGCTGATAAATATCAAACAGAAACACCTAGATAAGGAATACGAATTTACGGAAATTAATTTCCATAGTTTATATTTACACTAGAGGTTCATTAGCTTGGCTCTACATCAAGCTAAATTTTGGGAAGAAAGTGAAGTGAAGAAGAGACCACAGGAGAATAGAAAATCGAGCCCCTTATCCGGTAATACCTTTGCCAGGACGTTGAAGCCAACCTCCTCGATTAGACGATGTGGCTGCGTCGTTACTTGTCCGGAGGGTACCCAACCCCTTTATCTACTTTCCTCCTACTCCTATATTCTGTCGCAAGCAGGTTACAAACGACAGGCACGGTATTACGACCCGCAAATTACACCAGCCAAGTGATACCTCCTGCCTCTTTCTTCATTCACCTCTACTTCTCTTAGTCTTTCTCTTCCTGACTAGCGTGGTTTTCGTGACCGGAGGTGCTTTCATATCACGCGACGACGAACCCACAATCGAGATGCATTCACTGATGCGGTCTGGAATATTAATCACGTCTATTCCACCAACGATTAAACGTTAATCGATCATAATCATGGTCTTGACGCTATTATGGTTTTCATCTTTGCTATTTATTTGGGCTTCAAATGTGACTTTCAATATTATTGGATTTAAATTTATATTTCCCAACTAAAAACTCTATTATAAAACCAAGTACAACTGAACAATCAAAGATCATTTATTAAATTTACATTTAATCAATGTAAACTCATCTATTCTATAGTTTAATATTAAGGTTCTTGATAATAATTTTGGTTTTCAATCATTCAAATTATTTTTATCATTATTCATCATCAATCTGATCAACAATAATTTGAAATAGATTTGTATTAAATCAAAATTGGCTAAAATAAATATCGCTAATAGCAGAACAATTTATGAAGATGTCAAACCAGAGTAATAATTCGTAATATCGGTCCTAAATATTGCTGTCATGAGTTTGTTTTCCCTAGTGATAGTTTCAGTGTGGGATTCATTATAAAATTAATATGAGAAAATACTCACAAATGAAAAGTTATTACGTATTACATATCTCAAGAATGCGTCTGCGGTTGGATCCACCAGTGGTTTTCTCCAGAGGCATGAACCCTGCGGGCTAGCTCGTACGTCGACTTGCCAGAATCCAAAGAGATATTGCATTCGCAGTATGCACAACGAGAGAAGAGTTATTACTTGGCTCGAGCCTTCTTATCTCGTGCTCTAATTTCTCCTCATTTTATTTATCTCCACTCAAAACTAGTATACCTAGTTTTAATACAAAACCTTGAACATTATTGTAAACATAAATATTATATTACTCAAGACTTGTTTCTTCTTATTACCATGATGCCTATCACTATGTTTTTGACTTAATTCGTTTAATTTTTCACATTTTCCTGCATAAAAAACGAGTGTTTCTCACTGAGATGATAAACAAACTGTTTCAAAACCAAGTAACATCACTACTGTGAATGCAAAGGAAGCAAGTACTGTATTCAGAAACAGCATTATTACCTCGACGACTAAGAAATGGGCATTCGACATCACTCAACCGGCTGAACACGTAGCACCTTGTTACGTGTTGCTGTTCCTAGTACCAGAGAATAATCACGTATCGTTCGACAGTTTCATCTCTGTCTTATTTAGGGGTAATTTATCTAACAATTCCTCAAGAATATTTATGTGTTTGATTAACTCGGAACACTAAAATCAACTTAACTTCCTCTTACTTCTGATAAATTATCTTTTAATTTAATTTATTTGAATTCAAGAAATAAATTTGTCACTTCAACTCAGAAGCTAATTCAAAAACAAGCTTCTTTCTCAAACAGAACCTGTCTAATAAAATACTCCTTGGTAATTACACGAGCTAGAAGTCTTTTGACTAATTTTGATAACTTTAGAGAAAGTTTTTTATTTGTTTTAGAAAGTAACAACTAGAACGTTGATTATGACAAAAATATAAAATAATGGTTTTGATATTGAAATAAGAAATAAAAAACTCTTGCACAACAGTTTATTTCAACTATTCAACTGGAATCAATTAATAGCGAATCCAATGAAAGATATAAATAAAAATATGCTCAAGTATTTTTTTCACAGAGAATGAGCATTCCATTAAATATTCATCAAGCTTGTATAATTTGAAAGGGAGATGTTTTCTCATATTTTTTATAAACTGTTGATTCTTATAACAAAAATAGTTTAATAGATCGTGCATAAAAAAATTTATTATTTAGACGAGAATCTAAATATCGAAATTATTTAAATATTTTATATATGATGACAAAACCATGATCAAAGTCAAAGGACTATTGTCTCGGGAATCGCGTTATTTCCCTTCCAATTTCTTGTGTACGACCACAAAATTGGATGGTACAGAACACGACTTGTGTCTCAGGAGACATCTACAAGAAACGCGTAGATGCAAAGATAGAAAATAAGGAGAAGGAAAACCATAGGTGAGAAAGAAAAAAAAAAGAGAAAAAGTCAATAACAAGATCGGTGGTACAATTCAGAAGACAACTATATGAATAATTGAGTGGACCAACCACACGATCGTTCAGTTAAGCCATCGAGGAAGAGCAATTTTCACGCTGGCTTGAGCTTATGTCTATCTGCTGCGGTCTAACACGACTATTACTACATCTAACACATCCCTCTTTCTTCCCTCTGCTATTCTTCTATTCTTCGTCTTCCCTGTATCCAAACTATACGTGTAACATTAGTTTTTACGACTGTGATACCCAAGAGGCAAGTTGAGGCTACGATACGCGGATACATTCTCCTTACTCTGGACTAGTCCTGTATATTTCACGACATTTCTACTCTACTTGTTAGACTAAAGTCCACTTGATATATATTCGTTATCTACTGCAACCGCATTTTCATCAAATTATAGTTAAGATCTTTAATATGAACTCTAAAAGATAACTCTAAGGAAATAAAGATTACAGAAACTCGTAGAAATACTACAGTTAAAATTCTTAATTAAACTTTTGTCAGTTCTGTAATTAATAACAGAATCTACTTTAATTGTATAATGATTTTATGTTTTATTAGTAGTTTTAATAACATTTATCAACATTAATATGGAAATGACTGTTTAATGTAAATGAACGCAGTCTTTATCGTATAAAACTAAAGAAATTACAGTAAGACAATTAATCATGAAGATTTTAAAAGGCTTAAGTCACTCAGATGCAATAATTCTTGAGTTCTCTCTACTTCTTCAGATCCCCTGTTCTTCACAATGAAATTCTCGTCATGATCAAGCTATTAAATACGTAGGTGTGTATTTAATGCGACGCAAATATTGTAATTTATATCTCTAATGGAAGGAGGAGCATTGGAAGCTAACGTGACTGAACTCATGGAGTGAGTTTCACCACCAAAATTGTACGTATTCCAATTTAGCGTATACAGCTAGTAAAATACCTGTCTGCCACATATGACTGTCTCAATTGTACCACATGGGTGCTATACTTCACCACACAAATCTACCACAAACCCCAATTATCCTCAACTCTCTTCCTTCAGCACATATCAACTAGACCATTTATATTCATATAGAAACAACTTACAAAAATATTGGTTATTTTTATTTTCACACTGTTTTACATTACAATAATTGTTGATGTAATATTGTATTAATAATACCATAATCGATACTTAAAACAATAAAACACTTTTCGATAAATATAACACATTTCAATTTTTAAAATAAAATATCATTAATTTTTTTCTTTTTAATACTCTTTTTAAGAGTAAAAAATTATTTTAAAGTAATTATGCTTAGTAAAATTATCTCGATATTAGATAAATGATATATGAAAAGAAAATTGAAATAAAAAATAAATACCAAAAGAAAATACCATATTGATTTCAAAAAATTATTCATGAAAATTTGGGACGTTTATATATAGAATATATATCTATTGAATGATATTGAGTATTTTTTTGTCTTTCTTCGAACAATTACACGAGGCAAGGCACATAATCCATATGTGTAATATTTCATTTTTTGTTAATTATTTAAACAGAAATAAAAAATCTGATAGCAGTAAATATTTGAAGAGTCAAAAAAATATATCTCTGAGTTATTTATATCAGTGGGTTACGTCCGTAAACGATGCGCACGTTGAGCTTTTCTTAATTCGTTCATGATTTTTATCTACTATACTACAGTATATTTTATAATATCAATAAATAATAGTTATTATTTAAAATATTTAAGCTCAAACGCAAAGCGCAACATTCGTTGCTATATCATTCCTTAATTATTAATATTATTGCTACGAAAATAATTTCTTAACTTTCGAAAATATTCTGATATCAGTATTGATTGTATTATTTTGTTTGTTAACTATTTTTGTTAAAACTCACTGGTAGAATGGTTTAAAAGAATCGAAACTAAAGAGAGACATGAGGAATAGATTATAAGAGAGACTTTGGTTATTGTCATGAGGAATTAAAAACTTAACTTATATCATGGTTAATAAATAATAAAGTTGATCATCATTGATTATGATTCGCCCAACACTTTGAACAGTAGTATTGATTTTCTGATGATCCAAAGAATGGACAGTCCTCAGTAAGACATTCTCTAACAGTAATTTTATTATCAAGAGTACTTACATTCTCAGGTTTCGTTTCGGTATTATAAAATGTTGACCTGTAATAAAATGAACAGATCAATTAACATGAGTATAATTTCATCGTCTCCTTAATTATCAATTAATTTACTTAAAATTTACACAGGTAATATTCATTCTGAACGAATAAATTTTTTCAAGTTATCTTTGATATGAATAAGAAATAAAAAATGTAGATAATAATGATTCAGACTTTTTAGAAGAATTCGTAACTTAGCCTAAGTGTATTTAAGATATCTCTTATTTTGATGATTAAAAACTTCTTAAAAATTAATCCTCAAAGATTATCTAAATATTATAGATAAATATATAATAAAAATTAAAATCCTAAAGCAAATGTACACACAAATATATATATATATATAAGATAAAAAAACTCACCTCGACAAATATAATGTTCTGTCTTTATTAGTAATTTTTGGTTGTAGCTTGCTCACACTTGCATGACTTCCACTGTCACTGACTGCATAAAATTTTGATTTTCCAGCCCCATAATTTATTTCAGTCCCTGAGGCATTTTGCAGCTCCAAATATCTGAATAAATGCATGTACATGTATATGTATGTGTTTAAATAAATAATAAACATAAAAGTTATGTGAATGAAACTGACATACCTCGAGTGAGCGCACTGTAAGTAATTTTGGAGCATCTGATCTACATACTGATGACGCCGACTTTTGAGTCGAACACACAGAACACCTTCGGTGGTTACACCACTCACAGAAGCTGGTGGACTTTTTGGTCTTTTAGCCATTGACGACCACAGTCTTTTGCTCATAGACTTTCCAATGGATCCAAACTGTTTTGCTACACCTAATAGCTGTTTAGCAGCTTTACTTTTATTGGAAGTAACTCCATCAACCTCAGAAAGCCTTTCTAATTCTTCGGAAGTTAAACTTTGATATTCACAGTCTAAATACTCTCTTATCAAAATTTCCATCTGTAAAAAAAGCATTTAAATATAATCTATCTTATAAATCATCTAATAAATATTCATTAACATATGTAAATATATGAAATCATTATTAAATTTATTAAATACAATGATAACTGACTGTGTCTTGTGAACAAGGTAATAGGTCTTGTGATGTAATGGTCCAATCCCAATCCAATCCGGGATCAACAGCAAATAAAACAGGAAGGAGTTGGCCAGTATCAGGGTCTACAAGAGGTATACTGACGCCTTCGCTTTCACTTTCTCCAAAATCATTGCCACAATCTACTGTTACTAACGGAGAAAAATGGGCTGAATGGTAAGCTAAAAGCAGTGGGGTCCGATGGCATTTTTCTGGTGGTACTTCTAAGGGCAAATAGATCCCACCGAAAGGAATTGGGGCCAAGGCTACACCTTCACAATCACGGAGCATTGTTTCCGCTATTACAATTATTGGCCTGTGCAAGACATGCGCTAGAGTGAGAACATGAACCTGGAAGAAAATAAAATTTTATCATCAGTTATCAAAGTTTGCTCTGAGCATTAAATGGAAGCCATTGTTTGTAGTATCAAAAACATTAATGTAGACATACCTCCTCAAGACTCTGATAAGAAGTTGCGGTTTGTGAACGCGGGTTTGCTGATGCCATTTCTACAATGCTTTGCCATTCTGTTAACCACTCGGCTTCCGTATAGGCCAAACCCGCAGCAGCATTTAAAGCCATTTGCCTCCACTTCCACCGCCTAAATAATGCATCTTTATATTCTCCTTTCGATAGAGTATTGTGTAGAGCATCTCTCAAGGTCAATAATCGGTCGTGAAAGCCCCACATTCCTAATGAAGCTGCATGTAGCAGACAATTTCCATCTCCAGTCGTCGCCAATGGCCATAATACTCTCGTACCACTATTCTTCCCACCGCACCACCAATTCAACCTTCCTGCTGCTTCTAATGACGTCAAACATCCTCCCTCGATTAAATCTTTTTCCAAGAATTGCCGGAAAGAGTCTGTGAATATAAATTATTTTTCATTTTTGTGAATTAGCTCGTATTCTAGTAGTATCAACATTAACAATGTTCATTCACAAATATTTCAGCGAAAAAATACAATCATTTCTGAACTAAATAGCTTTTTGAACTCAATTTACTGGCCTAAAAAGGGAACAAAGTTCCCTTTATTGATCTATCTTTTCTAACTTCCCATCAACATCATTTTTCATTTTCATCAGTCTACCTTGAATTATGTATTAATGTATTGGTGTTGCATTATTCACAATTTTTTATTCAAAACTATGATTATTATAAAAAAATACTTCAATGCTATTAAATATTAAAAATTTTGTACGTAATGAATATTGATGTTGTTGACTAAGATAAACTGAATTATTTAATTTAACAAAGTAATAGAGAATTAATGTGAATGTAGATAATGGTCCTTGACAAAAAATACTCACCTGGATAAATAGATAAATCAGGCAATGAAAAAGTAAACTCTGGAGTATCGACAATTCCCAAAAAAGACAGTTGTGAACGTGCGTGTGATACTATAGCAGCATTTTCAGTGGCTCGTGAAATACCTCGGGCCAATTTCTTTGTTCCTCCTCCATTAAGAGTCGCGTTATTTGCAGGCGCCTCCGGTTCCAATCCATCATACATGGATACAGCACCACTCATAGCAGGTGTCTTTCCTGTAATTTTGATGGATTTTTTGTTCTTATCAAATCACGAACGGTTTTATGGTTATACGAAGTTTATTAATTTTATTGTTAGAATACAGAATAAAAAATGTATTATTTGAAAAGTAAAAAAAAAGTATCACAAGAACATTACCCTATATTTAATATTTTTCTTGATATAATTATTAAAAAGTTTAAAACAATAGACAATAGAATAATAACTGGCTAACTTACGTGTGTTATAATGAATCTGGATTATGCTGCATTAGTTCTAGAATAGAAATAATTATTAAATGAAAAAAAAATGTTCAAGTCATGAAAGATATATTATTTAAAATGTTCAATTATATTAATTCTAATTTATAGGCTTTTATCAAAATGTATTCATCTAATTATGAAATTGTTGAATTAAAATTTTGTCAAATAAAAAATTCACTTTAGACACGCACTCGTTTTTTCTCCAAGAGCTTATATTAATAAATTGTCTACATAAATATTTAGTAGTCTGCTTGATTCAATTACATTCTTTACTTTCCAATTTTTAAAAATATAATATAGACTACTGTTAATTCTTCAAATATGTAATTTCTTTTGCTTCGTATCTTTTTTTGTTTAAAATACTGTAGTATAATATTTTTAGAGTAGATTAAAGCTTGTTAGTGGACTAAATAATTCCCACAGTTATTTATAAATATTAGATTTTTACTGAGATGAAGAGAACAATAAGTAGAAGTATTAACTTACGTGCATGTCAGTAATTATAAGATTTTAAATTGACAATGCATCAGTCACCATATAGATTGAATGGTACACGATCACGTCCTTGTATTCGAACAGTAGCTAAAAAAGATAATACAAATTCACGAGTTATTTATTATTTATGTATGTGAAAAAAACATCAGATAAAAAATATTTTGATTATATCCAGTGTCGCTATGAATATAAAATCAACTGAATAATTGTCATTAACTCATGATTATTATAAACATACGCCTAACATTATTGCAATAGTTGACGGAAATACTTTTGATGATTATTGTAATCTCATTACCAATATAGGTATATTAAAACGTATTCAAACGTATAAATTTACATATACATCATTGAGTTCAGTAAAAATAGTACGTAAATATATTTGCACTCAGTAGCTTCGTTCAAGGTGAAAAAATATAAATTACGCGACCACAAGAGCATACATGCGCCACCTCAACAGGTTTTCACTATGAATTCTAAAGGCAAACTACAAATTTTTGATTATCATGACATTAAATAAAATAATTAAATTTAATTAATTGAAAATTAGTAAATAAATTAAGTATTAGTAAATACTTAAACATCATCTTACCAATTAAAGAAATTGTGTGGGCACCTGAATCTTACGCCTTATTTATTAAATGACATTTATTTTGCACACGAATGAGAACACCAACTCTCTTCGAGGTCATAACACTTCGATCGGTGAAATTTTGGAGCGAATCCGACAATCATTCTGGATTTAGAAACGTAAAAGTGTTAATTACACTGACCAAATTTTATACTTTACTATCCTTGTTATCAAGTAAAACATTTCTTTATGTTAATTAAAATGTAAATTATTAATTGTGGTAAGATAATCCAATATTAAACATAACTCAACACTCTCACTCTACCAAGTAAGATTGAAAACTGAAACTGATCAGTAGGATCAACTTCAAGTGCATGTGATCGGTAAACATATGTATTATGTGTGTGTGAATAAAAATTAATTGTGTTAATATAATGGAATTTTACTTAAACGCCATCTATTCAGCCGCGAATCTAACCAAGAATTTAAAATGAATTTTCTTACAATTAGTTCATAAATAGTAAATATAATTTCCATTAACTTTTTAATTATATTTTCTCTTGTAAATATTAAATTTTAATGGCGAGTGATAAAAATTAGTTATAAAAAGAAATTTGAACACATTTATCGAGTCACAGCTAAAAAATTTAAGCATATTGTTCGAATTTTTTATTTCATTTTTGTTTTTTTTTTAATATTTTATTTGGACCATGATTTCGTTATGATGAGTCTGAATGTTTTATAATAAATAAGTTGAGAAAAAAAATTTATTCGTACAATATAAAAATTATAAGAATTTTTGTAAATAGATTCAGATATGTATACATGAATTTTGGAAACATGATACGAGAATATATTTTCTTTAATGTATAGCTATAAAAAACATGTATGAAAAAATTATTGTATGAATATTAGACATTGAAATTGAAAATGCAATATAAATTAAGTACCACTGGACAATTATATTTTCCTTTGTTCAAGTGTACATGATAATAATCGCTGCGCATTGAAATAGTTAGAATTTAATAGATATTAATAAATAATTATTTAATCATATTTTTATCTTTTTATCCAATACAATTTTTGTATAGTTTTACACAATGTTAATTAATTTGGCACGACAGCAATATAATATTATAATAATAAATGAATGCATTATACGAATTTCCACCGTAATGACATAAGTCTCCAATTACATTTATTAAAGAATGACCAGATTAAAAATCAAAATTATTTTGTTGTTTCATAGTGGTCTAAGGCACATCACATTATCGCAACGACCTTCATTAGTTAATTGAAAATGAATGCTTATTTTGTTTATAAATTTTTTTCTCATCTCTATTCCGATTTTCAATACTAAAATTAGTGCCATTCAATTATTACTTAATTCTCTTTTATTTCTATCCTACATATTATAAATATTGTTGAAATCTTTACTTTTGTAATGATTTATAATATTGACAGTAATTAAGCGTGCAATTAATTTACTGTTTTAATCTTAATTGAATAACTATTTCATTGACAATTTCAAATATAAATCTCGTTGCTTTTTATACATATATTTGATAATAATTTTCATTTTAAAGAACTAAAATGATTACTTCAATGATTTATAGACATTGAAATTTATGTAAAATGATATTTTAAAAAACAATTAATTAAATGAGGCGAATCATCAAAAGTAGCACCACTCACCTCAAAATATGGGGGATTTGTTAGGTCAAATAATATTAACTTTTATATAAATTCAATGCTATTATATCATGATTATTCTCAGCTTATATAATTGATGAAAAACAATTATTAACAATAAATAAACATCATATATATGACTTTTGTTGCTTCAAGAGTCAATATTAGCGGTCATTTTTGCATATTTAAATTGAAATTTTAAAAAGTTGTAGTCAAAATGTCTGTTGAGAGGCCCAGTGAATCTAAAGGCTATTTTTTAAATACATAAAAGACAAATGTAAAGATAAAAATTTTCGACTGACAAATCACTTCTACAAGCTTTGAAGCTATGAATATACTTATCTTCAATATTTCTATTTTTTTTTCATTAAGTACAAAAGAATTTATTTTTAATTTATTTTAACATTCTTTTTTCTATATTCTAAGGCATTAAAGCGTGAAAAATATTTTTCCGATTCTTTTCCCTCTGTACCGACAAATTTCAGCTATCTCAAATAATTCAAATTATTCAAAATAAAATTAGTTTTTTTTACGTAGTACAAATAAATAATTAAATTACTTTCTATGTACCAATCTTTCTGTTCATTACTTATACCAATATGTTTATTCGTAATTTATTTCATTCATCTATTATATTTTTCACTCTCATTAATTTATTGTAAATTATTCGAAGAAATACCAATAATCAATGACTAATATTTACATAAATTAACTTAAAATATATGTAACAAATTCATTTTTTCGTATTGAATTTGTTAATATTAATTCAATTATTTTTTACAAATGCAGGATAATGTATCTTTATGAGTAGTTTTCGCCCTTTTTGCTATTCATTATCATAAAATTTGTTTTTGTAATTACTAAAATGTGTTCAAACACATTTAAAAACGCTGATAGTAATGTAAAATACATCTCTGAGCAGTTCTTATTATTAAACGTTACAATAGTAACTATGAACTCTAAATTTTTTTTACCCCGTGTAATTAAATTTCCATGATATTTCATTATTTCTATTAATATCTTATTCAGAATGTCGTTCTATTCAAATCACGAATTTACGGCTGCACTAGTAGTCTTTTTTTAATTATCATTTTCTGTCTGAAACACTTGAATCGACTGATAATATTTTTAATACCAAATTTAAAACTTCAGTTAAAAATAAAAGTTTTTTTTGATACCTGTTTCTTATTTCTCTATGATTGTTAGCAAGTAACAAAGTTATCCTGAGTATTCAGAATATAATCTTGATAAAATAATGAAGGAAAAAAAATAATTTAGTCTGTTATTGAAATCTGAGCAAACCCTACTAACGCTTTATCATCGGGTACTTCATTGGTAGCGGAATTCTGTAATTAATAATTTGTTTTACTTAACAGTCATTATTAGTATCTTATTAAAGTTAATAGCATCGTTAACTTACTAAGGAAAATGTTACAGTTCGTAATTGTCCAGCGCTGTCTATAAGTTTCTGCAAATTTGCAGCGATTACAACGATGTCTTTACCGTCGACTAGACCAGCTCCAACTAGTTCGGCTGCAATGCCTTCAGCAGAATCAATACCCACAGCAAATTCAAATCTAATGTCATTTAGTTCTCTTTTTTGATTGCTAAAAAATTAATTAAAATATCAATAATTAATACAATTATTTAATATTTATTAAAATAAGACCAATATATTTGGCTTATACTTTGATTTTTCTTCAAGGGTAAATCGGGTATCAGGACGTCTGGAATTATAGGAAAAATGGCAGCATGAATATTAAACAATGTGGAATAAGCTAAGGGAAGGAGTAATTAAAACTATGAAATATTGATTTTGTAAATACACTAACCGTAATCTGAGAACTAAATTAATTGGAATATTTTGCTCAGCCGACTGTATAGCAACTCGACTCATTGCTGATTTAACTTGACAATCTAAGTCATCTTGATCACCAGCTTCCTCTTCACTGCTTACATTTTCAATTGTATTAACAGGTAATGCCTCCTTGCCTTCATCTCCACTCGATGCACCGCTATCTTCCTCTTCTGACGACCAGACCCATTCGCCAGTAACTGTTCTATGTAAACGTCCCGACGTTCCAGGTTGACGTTTCGATGCCTGTATAGTATAATTTATTGATTTATATGCATACATTTATTTTCAGAATAACAAAAAAAATATGACCGTTGTTTTAATACCTTTTGCACTCTAGTTTCAAGGCTAGGGCCGATCGCAACTAAGGTTTGTTGCAAATATTTTTTATCTTTGGCTTTTTTGAAAAACGGATGTTTTAAAAGTTCTGTTGCGGTCGGCCTACAGAGAAAATGAATATCGTCTATTAATCAAACTGAATGGTATATGGTATTTTAATAATGATAACCACTATATGAGGAAAAAATATTTACCTTTTTGTAGGATCTTTTTGTAAACAGTCTACAATCATTTTACGAAATGTTTTTCCATAAGCTTTGTATTGATCTTTTTCATCTGCCGCTGTATCTAATGTCGGCGGATCGTTTTGTAACGTAAGCATTAATACCTTCATTGGGGGGTATTTATGATAAGGAGCAGTACCACTTGCCATTTCGATTGCAGTAATACCCAACGACCATATGTCAGCTTTAAAATCATATCCGTGATCCTGTATGAATAATAAAAAATTATAATATCTTTTATGACGATGATTAAATCTAAATATACGCTATTTTCCTTAGTAAAAGAATAATAACAAAATGTAGTAAACAATAAGCTTTTAGAAGCAAAAATAGAGTTGTGAAGCCTTTAAAAATGATTGGATTAGATGTTTTTAACTTTTTTTAAACTTTATAAAACTTGTATTATTCTATGAATTTTATATGATTTCTTATAAAAAAAAGGTTTTATTTCAAGCTGATATTTTTTTTTGTAGAATACATGTCTGAATAAATTTTAAATATTAAATGGAAATGTATCATGCAACACAAAGACAGCAAATGTTGCAAACTAGAAAATTGTAGAGTAACTTTCCTCTCTCACCTGCTCCATGACTTCAGGTGCCATCCAGCAGGGTGTACCCACAAAAGTATGCCGTACTTTTTGTCTACTCAAGTCTCGTCCTGTCGCTAACCAGGCACTTACTCCGAAGTCTGCTATTTGAACAGTTCCATCTTCACCCAGAAGAATATTACCAGCCTTTATATCCCTAGTAAAAAATGAAAATTAAGCAATTATTTTCGTTAACAGTAAATTTATCAAACATAAATATTAAAAAAAATTATATTTACCTATGAATTTGTCCGTTACTATGAAAGTATTCCAGGCCTTTGAGCACTTCTCGAAGTACTGTAGCAATTGTAGCTTCATCAAAAACCCCATGTTTACAATTAGTTGTCCTGGTTTTATGTTTGATGATATCAAGAAGTGATCCGCCTTCTAACAGTCTCAAAACGAGCCACAATTCTTCTTTTACGACGAATGAAGTATAATATGTTACTACATTCTCGTGATTGCATGAGGACATAGCCTGGATTTCTTTCTACAATAAAATTATTGAAGTATTAGTGAGAATTGAAAATTAACATTTATTCAAATGAAAATAAAAAAAAACTGAGAATAATATACTGATGTTTATCATTTTTTAATAACGAGAGAAAAATTAGTCAACTCCTAAAATTTATGTTCGTATTAATCAATAGTTCCAAACAACTCTATTCAAAAGATAAACTAAAGAAATGTAATTGTTTTTCAATATTGATAAGTTATCAAAAAAAAGGTTGTGGATTACATTTGCAAATACTATTTCATTGAGCCTTCAGTGATGTCTCATATATTACTATGAACAATTAGAAAATTTATCTACGTATATGTTAATAGAACTTTACAGTAAAAACATATTTGATATTTATATTTATCTAGAATATTCGATGTTATTTACGTTAGCTCTTTAAATACAACCGCTTATTAATAACTCCGAAGTATCATAAATTTACTCACCAACAGTTCGTCCATACTGGTATTCCATTTTTCCAAGTTTATGCGTTTTATGGCACATTTTTCTTGACGAGGAATACAAAAGGCTGCATGAACTACTGCAGTTGCTCCAACACCTGAATAAAGAATTTATTTATTAATTTTAAATATTTTTACTGGTTGAAATAATTCCATGACGTATCAATAAATCATTTCTCTTAATAAGAGAGCTAAATTAATCCTATAATCATTAAACCATAATGGATTTTCGTTTTTTTAACATTCAATGGCTGTCGATAGAATGAAATGTAGGTTAGAATAAATCAGGACCGGTTTCTCGGAAAAGTTAAGAGAAAATTATTAAACAGTGACCCAGAATAATGAACTCTACTAATTTAACAACAGAATCTTTAGAAATAATCCAGAAACGATCCATTTTTAATCCTATAAATCAACTTTTTACATAACACTAACACTAGATGTCAATCAATCACTCGTAAAAATTTTCATCATAAAATTTAGCCCACGAAAGTACTAATAAATACAGCTAAATTATTAATTATGAATCTGTTAATTGTTTAACAATTATTAATGTTTATATTTACCTATAACCTCTTTTAATTCATAATCGTCTTTGGTATTGGGCCAGCCCTGAACAACCGCTGTCGAGCTCGCAGACGCCATTTTATTGGCCAGGACCGTGCCAAGACGTGTGTGCTTGCCAGTGCTACGAATACCCCAATGAAGAATACCTCCTCCTCCACTTGGTGATGAATTGTTGGGGTAAGTGTGATTGTTGGTCGTTACGTTGCTGCTACTCTGTTTATTTGGTCCAATACAACTATACTGATTACTAGAGACAGGTGTTTCATTCACTGTCTTTGTCGTAGTCGATGAAGAACGGAATGACTTCTGTCGAAATATACCCGGTGAACAAGACGGTATCACGTCTGGCGAGATGATCCTAGAATACAAAAAACCGGCTTAGGAAAGATGTGAAACGAAAGTAAGAAGAAACTGGTTTCTTCTTATACTTAGTAGAAAATAATTCGTAGAATTGAAGTCAAAGATGAATGATCTTTTAAATCTCTAACATTTGTTTATGACTCATATTAAAAAATTTATGGCAAGATTTTAATTTAAAAAAAAAAAGAAATTAAATGAGGCAAGTAACAGAAGATAAGAAAAAACTTTTTTTTATATTATTCAAATGATTTTTATATTATTATTATTGAATCTTATCATGACGTAACTAGTTACTAATCAGACCATCTGTATATTGTTCACAAAACTTTCTTATCATATCCACTTATCAAATATATAATCACCGAGTATTATCTGTTTGTAAGAAAAAAACGATATCATCTGATGCTAATGAAAAAATTATAAAGCCATTATTTAACTCTGAAGAAAGTGTTTTCTGTAATTATTAACAATATATATCTATTCAATGTTTACTGATATTCATTACAGGCTGAGAAAACTAAACCATCTACGAAATAATTACACTGACGTAAAAATAGCAGCTTACTGCAGGATTAGAACAAGAATGTCAAACTAGAGTACCGCAAGCAATTTTTTGCTTATGCGAAACGTTGAAGGTCAAACTCTCGTGAAGATCAATCACTCTCCAAGGTCTGGCGCACCTCTGCCAAATGGAGTTTGCCAATTACTGCATTACATTAAGGTAATTGATTTTTATTCTTTTTATCATTCATTCATACCGACTTACAACTTACTTATTGTCAACTATCTTTTCTTAGTTATTTTTTTAATAAAAAAGTAACAAGAAATAGTACTAGGCGAGCAGGAATGAAAAGAAACTTACCTGCTACGAAATGAACTTTTAAAGCGAGTCAGTTCATCCAACCGACTATTGAACCACTGAAGGCTTTTACGTCTACCATTTTTTTTATCTTCTTTACAACATCGCGATAAATAAGAGAGCCTTTTGTCACTGACATTTTGTCTATCGTAATTGTTCAGCTGACTGGCAGCCCACCACTGAAGAAACGACGAAAAATAAGAAGTCATATGTTCCTTAATTTAAGAGCAAACTGACAGCATAAGTGAATGTCGTATTTCATGATTTGTTATGTCACGAGGTCAATCACTTTGCGACGAAATAAATATCAAATCTAAGCCAACGAATATAGCACGTGGTACACTTCTAGATGGCATACACGAGTTAACTCAACTCATCATTTATTATTAATTCAACTTCTTTCGTTCATCGACTAATAGCTGCACAGTAGTAAGATACTTTACTTGTCCATAAGAGTAATCATGTGAATGTACGATTAAAAGAAAGAAAATGGAAACAATGGAGAAGAATCAAGTAAACAAATAATAAAAGCACAGTCAATAAAAGTTGAAAAATTAATGAACAAAAGAAATGTTAATGAGCACTTGTTCATGACTTATTGATGAATTGAAAAATGAAAACATTGCTAAAACCTAGAATAAATTGCGATGAAGCATCAGATTAAATCAATATTGATCAACAAAAATCAATAAACATCGAAAAAGAAATAAACTTACTGTTTTGAATACAAAAAATGATATGATGGAATAATGCTTTCGTAAGTAAGTATTATAAAATTCAATGATACTTTTGTATTTTTAAGTGATCAATTAATATAGCAAAGATATTATCAATAAATTTATTTGATAGGCGATTCGGCTTCATCCTTCTGTCACCAATGACATCTGATGTATTTAGAGAAATAGATATCAAACAAATTGTGCTGGTATAAAATATCGTGGGAAATCAATGAATAGATTCAGTCATCATTAGACAACGGCACGTGGTATTGTGTCATTGGTTTTAATCAAATCAACTGAATAGTCAGTACTTGTGCGACACTTTCTTCAAAAAAAAAATGAAGCAACCGCTCGTGAGTTAATTTTTATTTAATAGATGATAGAATCAGATGGAAATAAATTTTATTCTTACCTACTCCTACCAAGGACAAAGTTTGTAAAAAACCTTGCGTCTTGAAACTTAAGTTGCTCTTCCGACACTGAAGAGACAGGATCTTTTGAGGTCAATTCTCCATTCTTACGTTGTCTCATTTTGCTTACAAGTCTGCAAAAATATAAATTTCTTTGATGTTATTTAAACATTTATAAAATAACTTAATTTTTTGTATAAATTCTGATAAGACATAATACAAAACATAGATGGTATTAAACAAAAAGATTACAAATATCCAAAGTTTCCATTGACTTCGATAAACTCATTGATGGAAACAAAACGTGATAATTGTAAATAAGAGAGATAGTATTGCTATTATTAGTATTATAATCATTGTACGATTATTTAAATCAACGTCATAAAACTTACACATTTCTCAATCGATTGTGAATTTAATTAATAGCTAAGATAAATTGACTTTCAAGAGTCATCTTCAGAAAAAATTCACATATTAATTAAAAGATTTCGACGGATAAGCATGAGTAGATTCAAGTGATTATCATACAATATTAAACAAAAAGGTTACAATTAATTCAATTATTGTTTAATTAGAACACAACTCATATTTTTCATTAATTTTTTGCAGTAACAATTTTTATAGATTATTCTAGCTTTGGTAATTAAAGTTTTCATAGTAATTTTGTAGTTAGAGTTGAATAATTAACAACATAATTCATAATTTTATGCTACCGGATGTAGACAAATAATAAAATGTTTTTTTTCTTAACGTCAGAAAATGACAGAATAATTAAATGCAAGTGAAAAATTGCATTTTTTATCGATTGACTAAAGAGGGTACGCACTCAAAGTGGGTGTATTCATAAGAGACTGCCGCTAATATAAATAGAGAAGCTTTCCCCTCGTCTTTGGTATGGAATATGTGACTAAATTGACGAGGCAAGCGATTGTCACCTAAATACCTAAATGGAGTAATTGGAGCTGGATTGGTCTTATAAGTTATTTTTAGCTGTTATCAAAGGGTGGATCTTATTCTATTCATCTAAAAATAATTCCAATGTTACAATAGTTATGACGTTATTGCTTTTCTACATGAGCATCTCACAATTATTTCACCAGTTATCACTCTCCCTTTCGTTTTGTTCAATAGAATAATAGCTTCAGTCAACACTTAAATGTATTTACAGTAATATGTGATTATTATTCAGTCACGTGAGTCAAGTTCATTCTTGTTTGAAAATCTTGACGTCTTTCATTGACGTATATCACTCATCACGTGTTGAACTAATAAAATAATAGCAGACTAGTCAAACAAATTGTAATTATTTTTTTTTGAAATTGTCAATAACTACAAATCACTCATAAGCACTTATATCATTGATTCTAATTATTGGTATTCCAAAAAGTCTCATGCCAATGCCAGTCGACAGAAATAGAATTGGGCCGACGACATAAGAATTAACAAATTGTGTAACAGATTAATGTTATTCATTTATACAATTTTTTTTTCATTTTTATAGCACTATTTTACATATAATGTTTACGTGAAAATGCTATGTTAATTTTATGGGTATATACAGCCATGCACTTTTTACAACTAAGAAGACTTAGAAAGTTGAGGCTTATTCTTAGCAAGTTGCCTTGATGTTAATCATTAAAAATGACTGTCGAGTCATTGCCTTCTTAGATATGATCTAGACATGAGGAATATTCCAGTGATTATTATGAAAAAAGATAATTTAATCATTAAGTCATGAATTGACGATTAGTGTATATTATATGACACTTAAATCTCCTGAAAGATTATTCATTGTATTTATGTCTTACATCAGCAGTGACTCTAAATTGTTTCTAATCAATAATTTCACTAAATTAAAACGAGAATACATGTTTCATAGTCATTAATTTTCTTCTATTTTATCTGTTATTAGTGATATTTAAACTGCGGTATATGAAAAATTTTCGAATTTTTTCAGTTCCGTGATTATAAAGTTGTAGAAATGAACAAGAAATTAATACTTTTTGTGTACCAATATTGCTCAGAAAAACCAAACCATACAATAAAATGACTACTAGGTCAGATATTTCGCCATCATTATAGTTTGAATTTGGGTTAAAAGATTAATTTGTCGGACGGTGGTCTTTGATGTCAAGCACCACTGCCGAACCTAATTTGACTGTTCACCATTCGTGAGTCGTAATACAGATGAACAAAAACGCCCACTGCCAATTTGAATGAACAATTCCTCTCAAAACATAGTTAGGTTTCTTCTAACAAATTATTCGTGCTTTCGACTTTACTCTAGATTGTCTATAACTGCGAGAAACTAGATTTTACAGGAAATATTAGTTAAACATTTTCGCTATTATCTTTTTTTTAGAAAGGAATTTTCAGTAATATAATTTGTGCTAATTTTTCATCACTGATATTCTTCAACAAACTAAATAAATTAAAATATCAATAATATCGTATAACTGATAATTATTCGCTGTGAATGATAGAACTGTTAATTTTTCAATATAATAGTAAATTTATTGATAAAAGATAAAAATGTAATTTTTATCCATAATGACTGATAAGCAGTCAGTATTGATCTAAATATACAAATATAAATTGTAAATATATAGAGTATGAAAAATAGTTTGAATAATGTTTAATAGATTGTGATAGTTTAAATTTATAGTTATACTGAGATGCATTGTCTAACTCTCATACGTACGTCCGGAGTTGAAGCACATTTGTGCAAGCAAGTGGAGCTCAATGATATCGTAAAGCTGATTCAAAATAGACAATTATTAACGTCATCTCACATGGAAAAAAACTTCGTGATGATACTTAAGTTAACTATACCATGACATTGGAAATATTATTTACTTAATGATCATTGATAACAAAAAAACTTGATAAACAAAATTAAAAGTTATTAGAAAAATCAATTTTTTAATTTACTAATTGCTTATGACTAGATTTAACTTCCATTGTCAAGTTTAATTGATTTCCCTCTGACATCAAAGTCAGAGGGTCAATTACTCATTAATTCTTATGAGCTAAAATTCAAAAGGTAGCAGAAAACTTTGAGGAAGTTGAAAAAATTCGATTAGATATTGAATATCAAGCGTCTCAACTTAAAGTGAAGCTGATTAATTGATTATCAATCAAATACGATTACATGATCAGATTATCAAGTTATGGAATGCACTGATTACACTGTATAATGTCAAGGCCGATTTTACAAAAATTAATTGATATTAAGATAACACCAAATTACTATCACTATATATACCTTCTAGGTGAAGATTTGGAAGTTAAATTTGAATAAAAATCAGCAGGCATTTCGAGCATTGTTTATACACATTTCAATCGTAATTGTCCGAAAAACTTAAAACCTCCATGTTCCACTGTCATCAAAAGAATATTTCACAGTCTGCAATCACAACTGAAATAATTGCTTTTATAAGTTTGCTTCAATATATAAATAATAACATTTGGTTTATTTTTTTTTATCCACATTTACAATTGTTTATTCACAAACAACGTGTGCTTTTAAATATATAAATAAATCTCACAACATGAACTGTATACAAAACTTTTCGATAATTTAAGGATATTGACTTCTGTCAATTTACTAAACAGCTTGACGATGAATTTGATCACTAATTTATCAAAGAAAATTTCAAATTTTTCTCATAAAAATTAATGACAAGTATTGTTTGTCATGGTAAATAATTAGTAAAAGCACTGAAATTTGGTAACAACTTGATACTAAGAGATGTCAGATGATCCTGAGTTCGCCAGTGACTGAACTATGTCAGACGGGGGCACTGTCAATTGGATAACTACCTATCACGCATCTACGTACTCATGCTGCTTGTATATGCTAACATCTTCATATATGTATAATACGCACACGAGAAATAATGCACTTATGAACGCAAAAGTCTCGGGTGATCTTCACATATTTGTCAGTCTTCCTCACTGTTATGATCTTCCACACGATTACATTGTCCTCCAGAGAGCTTCTCCTTGTTTTTCCATTTTCAAATCGTATTCAAACTCAATTATCCTTCTCGATGCTATAAACATCTAAACTCCAAACAAAAGTAGAAATAATCCTTCGCAATTCTTGTACAAGGATATTTGTAAAAAGTCTAAACTATATCTTGTTACATTTTATTAACATTTTTTCTAATTGAAGCCAATGATATATGAAAATGTATAGATGAAGGTACTTTACCATGCTAAATACTGCACAGTTTCTATAATTAATTTTACAAACAATTTTTGCCGAATTTAGATAACAGTAGATTTAAAATTATGCTGAGTAATAAATCAAGAAGATTATTTAATGTTCTTTGATATTTTCATCTCATGAAAAATTTTGATTTAATTAAAGCTATGATTGTCTCTATTTCTAATGTAGCTGACTGAATAGTATATTGTTATGAGATACTAAATACAAATCAAATGAAAAGAATTTATTAGAATATTTTTTTTCTGCTATATTTAACATTCATATTTATATTTCAAGAAGTATAAATAGTCATGCAATGCATGAATAAAAAAGTAACAGTATTTTTTCTAAGTACAAACTAAGTAAAGGTTTTTTTTAGTTAAACACATTACATTTGTTTTTTTATTTTATACAAGTTATCAAAATTACTAAAAAATTTTATTATTTTAAATTAATTATTCAAAAATAACATCAGTCGTATTTTTCCGTTTGTATTTATTATTTTACCGTCAATAATATTTATCCTCTTTTCACTAATAAATAAAATAAAAATTAAAGAAAAATGTGCAGAAACCAATACATCAATGTTGTCAATTAAGATAGTAATTTTAGTGTAATTCCAAAGAAAACTATAATTCCTTGATTTATATTTCATGACATTAAGGTTGAGTAGGTCTTTAATCAAGTATTGATAACATTGAACCAATGATCTACCTTCTTGTAAGGTCGGAATATTTTAATTTTATTCTTGACTTAAAATGAAAGAAAAATCTTGGAGAATGTACACGAGGCAATAAAATACTCCAGGGGCGATCTGTATGTCATTGTACATGGTACAAGCGAATCAAAGGGGTCTCATGAATTGATAGAGCTCGGGGTGGAATCAATCATGTCGTACAACACGCGCTTAGTTGACTCAATAAATCGAGCCGACCTTGTGAGCTGCCTGAGACTGATTTTCACGGGAAACTCGAGTCATATCTTTGAATATTACGACTGTTTATTATTGAGCGTCTTTATTTCCTGTGAAAAGAAAATAATCTTTGAATTTTTTGTTTAATTTTTCTCATGTAGCTCTCATGCTACATCAATAGAGCATTTATGAATGATTAATGATTTGTAAATAGATAAAATATGTAAATTTTATAAAGAGAATTATTTTTTCAATTGTATACACGAGTTACAGCTAATCGTTGATATGAAGGTTAAAAAATAAGTGGTCTCATGCTCATTCACTTTCGTAGCAACCTTGATAGCTTGACATTTTTATCATATGATATTTTATTCAATTTATTGCATTTACTTACCGCCAATGCATAATGGCATTCATTATTGTGTTACAGATCATCTTCTTCCTTATCCTGTCACACCATTACGCCCTTGGCAAGCGTTTCAATCTGACCAGACTGCTCAAACAACAACTTGGAGATCAGTATCACGTGGCTTCTTCACATCATCAAGATTACCCAGCAGTTGCTAACGGTTTCTTATACATGCCTGAAATCAACTTCAATGAAGATGATATTGATGACAACATATTAGAGATAGAAGAGTTTAAAAAACAATTGAATAATAAAGATCACGAGTTCTTTGAAAGACATTATAGAAATCTTAAATCAGTAAGTTTAGAGCGGACATTTATTAATTTCAAAGCGACATCATTTATAACACTTGTTTAGAAGTTTTTAAGACCATCATACCATATTCTATGATCAGATTAACCTTTAAATAAACTCATTATAAACCATCTATTAAGTAAATCAAACATACAATAGTTTTTTTAAGTCAAGCTGCCTAATGCATTCTTTGAAGGCTATTGAATTATTAAACATTAAAATATTTTTTATTCTTAAATACTCATGTTATTTTATAATTCTTAAAGATGATGTGGTTTTGCTTTAGGAGTATCAGAATCTCTGTGAAATTAAAATCCGAAAAGTTCAATTAAATGATGAAGAATTTGAATATCAACCACCACATTACCACGAGATTTATTGCAAGAATTATGCATCAGATCAAGTACACAACAATTTAGTTAGACCCAATAAACAACAGTGTGCTCATCCTGGATTTCATTGTGTTCAAAGAAGTAAAATTATTTTCATGGTCAGAAGACGATGGACTGATGAATGCTGGGAGCCGTTCACTAAACAAATTGCTAGCGGGTGTGATTGTATGTGGCCTGTTTCTATTCTTGGAGATATATCTGCACACTATTAAAAACAAAAATAATTACTTCAAAGAAAAAAATAGATAATTCAACCAAAAAATACGTTATATCAAACGACATGACCTGCAATCAGTATTATTTTGAGAACTATTTTCATTATTTGAAATTGTGACTTACTCTTATTAAAATAGTAATCTTCTTATCGGGATTATATGAATGATTCTTATAAATGAAATATAAACATAAATGATTGTTTAATGAGATAACTTTGTTTTTATTTTCTATAAAAACAAATTAAACCATGAAAATTCACATGAATTGTGATGATTACATTGAAATTGATTCAAAAATCTTGGCCAATTCATTGAGATCAAGGTCAATATTACTTCCAGGAGTTGGCTTTGTGTTTTGGTAAAAAGTGAAATCCTTCGGGGACCTTTCCCAAGAACATTTCTCTGAAAATAAATCCCTGTCACAAAACTTTTATAATATTTGAAATTCTGGGTTAGTACTTTTTATTATAAAATTTGGGCTTACGATATTTTTATCCAGTTGGCACAGTTAGAGCTAGCTAATAAAGTTTCAATTTCATCTCGACCTCTATAGAAAGGCGGTCGTTCATTTATCCTTTGCGGTGGTCTCTCCAAAATCCCTACTGGAATATATCTAGAAAAGAGATCACTATTAGTAACTTTATTTAGTTCTTTATAATAAAATATTTATTAATTTTGTACTACAAACCGATGTAAAAATGATATCCACTCCAGCATAAATCTTCTCGTAGTTTCAACTCCTCTCGTATCTGATCCCCAATGTTCTAAGCCATAATTAGCATACTTTTGAAGAATATCTAAACGTTCTGAACTAGATATATCAAAAAGCTTCTTTTCTTTTATTTCTTTAAATATCCAAGGTTTTATCAAAGCTCCTCTTCCTATTGTCATACCTTGTACAGAAGGTGAATTCAATCGAGCTCTTTGATAATCATCATAACTCAAAATATCTCCATTACCAAAGACAGGAATTGGAGTAGCATTTTTCGCACACAATTCAATATAATCCCAGTCTGCAGATTTTGTATATCTTTGCTCCCGTGATCTTCCATGAACCTTTCGAGAAAGAGTAGAAATTAAAATAAATAAATAAAAATATCCAACTAAAAAAAAGTAGTCATCTTACAGTAACCATAGAAGCTCCCCAGTCTCGAAATTTAGGCATAAGATTGTGAGCAATTGGCTTATCCATGTAAACTCCCATTCGAGTCTTGATTGTTAAAGGAATATCTAAGACTTGACTTAACGATTTAACGACAGTTTGAAGAATGTTAGGGCGATTTAACATTCCACTACCACCTCCTTGTTTATAAATCAAATCAATAGGGCATCCTAAATTTAAATCAATAAAATCTACTTCTAATTCTTCATTAAATAATTGTGCACATCTTGTTAGAACTCCTGGATTATTTCCACAAATTTGTACTCCAAAAATATCTTCTATCTCATGTCTTTTAACCAAAGCCCACTCTTCATGAGCTCCTTTTAATATTTTTGGAGCCAAAGCCATCTCTCCACATGTTATATCTGCTCCATATTCTTTACATATTCGTCTAAAAGGTAAATTTCCTACCGTCGTTAATGGACTTAAGAGTATTTTGTCTTTCCAGTCAATTTTTTTTTTCTCTGATGGCCTAAGTTTTATTAAATCGTCATCTGGCACAGGTCCTAGTCTAGATTCTGATTTACTTTCTTTATTTAGGGGTGAATCTTCCATTCTCGGTAATTTACAAGCTATTTCACCCTCATTTTTATCTAAATCATCCACATCTCCATTAGAAAACATCCGCTTTTTATTTTCTCCTTTTTCCCGAAGAACATTATTAGCTTTGAGAATTTTTTCTGCTCCAGTAAAATTATATTTTCGCTTTCTGAGCTTCTCTTGCAATGGATGCGAGAGTTTATTTTTTGTTGTTGAATTTTTTTTCTTAAATTCTTCATATTTTTCTCTATCAACAATGTTGAATCCATTTTTTGTTAAATGTTTAGAACCAAATCTGCAAGCTAATCCTCTAGGACATCGACCAATAAGATTAAATAGATAACAATCCGATCCTACATCGGGCTCTTTTATTTTTAAATAAGCCAATCTATCATGCATGAATGTACATTTTGTTGACGGACATTCTTTTATAGGTTCATCCGCTGCTTGATCAACAATCCATGGACATAAATTATTTTCTCGTAACGTTTTAAATGGTGGTGGTCTTGCTTTATTTTGACCTTTTAATTTTTCTTTCTTATCATCAAGTTTAATTTTTTTAACTTCTGGTTCAACAAACATAATATCCTCATCATCACTAATTCCTGCTTTAATCGACTCTTCTTCATCTTGTTCATTTTCGTCAAGTGGTTTTATTTTTTTAACCGGAGGTTCTTCAACAATCGGTTCACCATGGTTGTCAGTAGTAGTTTGATTGTTAATCTTTCTCTTATCTTTTGCACTAAGACAGTTTTCACTGAGTACTCTTACATGATCTTCAAGTATATATCTGTATAAAAAAAATTAATGTAAATTAATTCAATAGTTACAGCGAAAACGTTTTAATTCGTTAGCGTAAACAATCAATGTAACGCTTTTGAGGTTAGAAATTTATTGAAGTGACATTGCAGTGGTAAGGATTGAAATAATCCATTAAAAATATTGCTAAAAAATTCACAATTATGTAAACTTACTCTGGCTTAATTATACAAATGCCCTTCAATTTATCTTCAGAGAAATTAGAAGTTGAATCATCAACGTGGACAACACTACAATCCGCCATATTAAACGATCAATCAATTTCAAAAAAATTTAGCGCAACAATGAAAAACCTAAAATTTTGAATCAATAAAATATAGAATTTAAAAAAAAAGACAATTAAAATCAAAAATGATAATTATATAGCATAATTAATCAATAGCATCTTAATTATCATTTTATTATTGATTAGTTAATTCTTATTATTTCATAATAATTATAATTTATCATTAATAATTTAATTTCTGGAAGAAAATCGATTGAAAAAATTTCACATCTATCAAGTAAATAAATACTGTACAGAACTTCATTAATTAATATTCATAATTTTCAACATTTTTACTTTTTTAATTTTTTTGGATCATTTGATATCAATAATCGATATTCAAACGGTTATCAACAGCACTATGATGACCACGCTCGCCAGGTATATGTTGGAATCATCGGAACTAAGGTACTACCATGCAATATAAAAACGATGCTCTGCCGGACTTCTACACACACAAATTGACGTCAAGAGCTTCTCTGATTCGTGACGTACAAAACAGTTAGGGCGTGTGCGTTGTTATGTGTTCTTTACATGACTCAGTCATGAATTAAACTTTTGTGGAGCAATATTTTTTATTATTTGACTTAATAATTGGTGCAATTAGTGTAAAAAATTATTTATAGCAATAAAATTATTATAAAATGGGTCATTTACAGTGGCTCTCGTTGTTCAAAGTTTTTTTACTTTCATTATGTGGTAAAGTCTTGTTGTTTAACCTGTTGATTACATTGGTGTTTCTGTTATATTAATCGTTATTTTTTTCTAGTTTCTGTTTATTCTCAAGAAAATTCATCTCTAACACACAACAATGAGTGTTTTATTCCGGAAGTGATACGAGGAGATTGGTTTTCGTGGGAAAATGGGAGAAATACACGAACTATTATTGATTCTGAAACCATGTCAGATCGAGGAAGATGCATCAAAGTAAAAAAAACTTCTCAGTCACATTATACTTTTATTTTTGAAAAAAATTCTTGCTATCATTGTGTACTATTGATTGTAAGAACATTGAACGTTTTGGAAAAAGAAGAGCGTAAGGCGATCATTCTATTCTTCAGAATTTGCTATTAAAAAATCTTGTTATTTGATTATTTACATTTTATTTATTTACAGTATCCTGTGTTAACTTATCGCCCGATCAGAACCCAACATTTGAAAATGTTTGTAGAGGAATTAAACTCGGTCAACAATATATCACATTATTTTCAGAGAATTACAAACCTGTCAACTGTAGGTCTGCCTTAGAAGGTGTTTGGCAGTTTGCTTATCAGGTAAAAATAATTCAAATACCATGTTCTCAAAAGTTAAAATTGTAAATTGAAAGGAAATTTATTGTATACATATTTTTTAGAATCGGTTTAGATTTACTGGAGAGTGTAATAATCCAGATGCACAAATTAGATCCTGTCAAGATCCAGGATCACAGTTTCTTATAACAAACCAGAAGTTTAATATCACATATAAAAAATGCGATAATATGAAAGGAACTTTTGATGGAGGTAAAATTGATTATTTATTTATTTTTAACTACCCAGTGGATAGATATTATAATGGATCTGATTTTGTGAATCCCAAATTTAGATATATTTTTTCATGTTTCAAAGTCTCTAGAGTCGAATGCAACAATTTTTAAGTGAATGGCTGTGTATGTGTTTATGAACGTATGTGCAGAAAAAAAGCAAATTAACTGAATTTCGAAATTTATAAATTATACTGTTTATTTCGATAACTTAAATTTTAATAATTAAAATTCTTTCCACTGGAATGTTAGTCATTCGAACCTTGCGGGTTGTATGTAGACCAATATTTTTTGTTATTATAATTCAATGAATCTTATACTTTCAGTTGTTGAATATAGTTGTTTGGGTGATTGGTTCAAGGGTAAAGATCATTTCTTTGCTGTTGCTAACACAAAAGAATCACGAAAAGACGAAAAATATAGATGTTTTCTAAGAAATCGTGAGGATGATCTATATATAGGAGTGTCAATTACAGCTGAATGCAATACTTTAAAAACAGTAGAGAAGAGTCCTGAGAGATTACATATAACTCCAGTAAAATCGGAAGTAGTTGTTCCCGGTTGTCGACTACCACAGAACATGTCCGGAGATTGGGTGAATTTAGCTAATTATGAAGCTGATGTAGTAATTAATGAAACTCACATTATTGAAACTTGGCGTCCAGATGAAGGACGTTTCCGTAAAACAATTTACGTATGTCAAGAGCAACGTGATAGTAGAATTATGATGGCTCGACTTACTGTTGATGGATGGTATGTTTTTTACTTGATAAATAATACACTCTATTTATATTATTTTTAATAATAATTTTCAAATTTATCTTTTTTCAATTGAAGTCAAAAAGATTACATTTGCTTTGACTTTGTTCCTCGTCACCATAACATTATTAGATACAGGAAAGGACTGGCTGTGATCCAGAACGACTTTTTTACAGTTTGTTCATGGAATAAATTTATTCAAAAATATCGTCGAGATCAGAAGCGCATTGAATGGCATTATGATTATTTTGTTGGTATGAATACAAATATTATTAAGATATATTTTTTATGAAATCTGTTGATAAAAAAATATTAATAAAGAATTTTTTATTGATTTCTTTCAGCGAAATTCCCTGTTCCTGTCAGGTGTCCAGTTGCTGGAAAGTTTATGTTCACTCAGAAAGGAGACATACCTTTTGAAACTAGAATTTTGGGTGGTGTAACTTTGTCACCAAGACCAAATATCCATTGTAGAGAAAATATATCAGATTTTTCAGTGTGTGATCCTGATCAAAAAGAAATTGCCATTGATGAAAATTACTGTTTATCAGTGGATCATTTAGGACGACCTGTTGATATTTACAGTAAGTGAATTTGTCAGTTATAAATTAATTAAAAGATAATTTATATCAGCATATATTAACAATGATATAATTTTATTTATAATTGTTTAGGCGACCCTGATTATAAAATGAAATGTATTGGATATTGGAAAGAGAATCTCAAATCTTATCTGATTACTTATGACGAATTGGATCCATTTAGTAAATATCGTTGCTGGGTTTATCAAAGAGCTGAATTGAACCGAATTTTGATGTCACAGTCTGCAGGACCCATTTGTGATATCAGGCAACGAGTTCAAAGTACCAGTTGGAAAGAAGGAGCTGCGGTAGCAATAGACATGACAGTAAGACATTTTTTGTAAAATTAGAAAATTTCTAAATTATAAGGAAAATATTTGCTAAAATCAATTATTATATTTTAGGAATATGAAAGAGAACGCGATCAGTGTCCAATGTATTTTAATGATGGTTCAAATCCTTGGCTCGTCACGGAAAATCGCATTAAAATCTTCCGTTTTGGACAAAGTTCTTCTACTACAACAATAGCCCCGCTAATCAAATTATTTACCGTTGTTGTATTTAGCATATGTTACTTATAAGAATTTACATTATATATAAGCTGCTAAATTGAGGTATTTGAAGTGTTTAAAATTTCTCTATGATATTTTAGACCTTTTAAACAAATGACTCCGTCCATAAGTTAAAACGTTTTTACATAGTAACAATTTAAGTTTACGTATCTAACAATTGACTTAAATATTATAATTAATAATTGGCATGCCTTTGAATGTGCCTTGTATGTAATCGAAATTTTATTATTTTACGTACATGACAATACTACAATATTTGCATACTCATGTAAAGATCTTATTTTATTCGAAAAAATTATAAATAATGTTAAAAATGTAAATGCGAAATTTTTTTATTATAACATTTTTATAGAATTGTACAATATTTTTAATTACAATGATATTAATTAATAAAATTATTGTTTTTGAGCACAATAAAAATAGAATTAAAAATTAATTTAATGTTTCTTATTTAATTACATGTCTATTTTTAGAACTAATCTGAACGAAGTATTTATTTTACAATTACGTATTCGTTGCAGAACACTAAGTGATTAATCTCAAATGAAAAAATCTTAAAACATTAAAATACCATAAATTATCCAAGAAGTCTACACTTAATAAAGACATTGAAGTTTTTTATTTTGTCCAACTGACTTTAGGTATATCAAAGTGTTCTGTCAAGCTATCTAGATGTCTGTTGAATTCTTCTACTCTCTGTTTATGTGTTTTAGAAGCCTTCTGTTTAATTCTTTCCGTTTGCTGCAATAAAAATTTCAATTAATATAATCGTTACAATAACATATAATAAGATATAGTAATAATTAATATTCATTTTCAAATTAATTTACCATTTTTTCCTGCATTTTTAAAAAGGCTAATTCTGCTTTTGTTTTCTTAATTTCTACTAGCTTAGAATTACTTTCTTCTTCAACAACCTTCGAAAGTTCTACGAGTTTTTTCTTCTTCTGTTCCTTACGCTTTTTTCTAAAAAAATGGTCAGAATTTATTTGAATTAAACAATATGAAAACATTGTAACTTACATATAGTACTAATTACACATCAATTATAATTACTCACTTTTTACTAATTATTTCAACATTTTTTAATTTCAAAGCTCCTTTCGACACTTGAGCATAAGGATCATCAGCTGATGAAGGCATTGTAAATAAAAAATTTAATGAAATTATCCGATGGTAAATTAACTAAAACGTTTAAACAATTGTTATGTTTAACACTTTTTTTGAGGTTGAGAAAACACAGTCGAGAAAAAGAATACTGTCTTGCCTAGAAGCCCAGAAGTGGCTGTTTCGTGTCGCCAGTGTATTTTTTTTACATTGAGTTTCTAATCTAGAATTTTTTAAACTTGGGCTGAACTCAAAGTTTCCCGGAGTTGACTTTACGCTCTCGCGTTGTGCGGCGGAAGGCCGAAGCTCGATATCAATTGAAATTGAGTAGGTAACAGAGAAATCGTTCGAAAAATAATAATTTACAGGGGTGCACTACAAAAAGGGAGCCTTAGGGCACCAAGAAATTTACAAATTTCAGAATAATCTGTTCTGAGCAAGACAGAGCACAGAATATATCTATCTATCTCCATCTTATTTTTCAGAGAAGACTGCGAGTTCGAACGGTTGACAAGCAAGCACAGCTCCCACCCTCTGTTACCAAGCATGAAGCTTATGATATCTAAACGTAAACAAAGCAAATGAATATATACTGGCTCTGTATACAGAGAGTAGAGGTAGAGCTTGCCGGCGAAGTGCCGGAACTTGCCGCGGATTGTTTGAACTATTTTTTATTGTAAATAAGTTGTTAAAAAGCCTATTATCAATGTATTTGTACAAAAAAAGGTTCATGGCTCCGTTCAAATGTTTTCTCATTTGTCATTGATTAATTGAAAAATAATTTTACACGAAAATTGAAATTTCAGACTCATTTTTGGCATGATAAAATTGCAATTACATGCAATTTGAATAAAAAAAAATTTTGCCGTAATTGGAATCGAACACCGTTCAGTAGGATAAATGTTGAACCTTCTGACTACTAGTTCAATCAATGGAAGGTTGAAATTACTATTTTGGGCGGAGAGAACGAAACCGACGCGAAAATGTGCATGTAATATGTCAAATTGAGAAAAAAAAATTATGAATGAATAATTTTTATTTTTTTGAGAGATTGAAAGAACTATAAGGGGATGTATAATATGAGGAAAAATCATGTACTAAGATAATTAGATAATAATTTCTGTTATATTATTTTCACTATAGCTATCATTTATTAAATTTCTCTTCTAATGCACTTTTTTCGTTTGATACCACATTCACTTGGTTTTGTAATTCATTTAATACTCTCAGTAGTTCTGAATTATTTTGTGTAACATCATTTGCTATGTCCTTGTTTTGATTATGATTGCATAATTCTTCTTTTTCTTTAAATTCGACGCATTTTAACGAATCGAATGTCAATAGTTCTTGTTTGACCTCATGCAATTCTGTAAATATATTTTATAAGATATTGAAAAAGATCGCATTTTAATAGAGTAAGACGGAAAATGTTCCTTACCTTGGATGAGCTCAAACTTTTGGTTCTCCAATGCCACCATTGCATTATTATACGATTGAACTTCTTCTGTTTTTTATGCTAACTGGTCTTCTGATTCCGTAATACGTTTTTTCAAATCATTTATTATAAATTTTAAATTAACAACCATAATTATGGTAATTTTGCATTGGCAATTGAATATTCTATATTATGTATTAGAGCAGTCTTAGTTATAATATTAATCTTATTGCAGTATGTTTGTTCAAGTTTATTTTTTCATGTTAGTATAAAATCTAGAAAATTCATATTTCCAGAGCTAGAAAAGTTAGAAATTACATCAGATACAATATGTTTGATTACCAATAAATAGTTCGATTAAATTCATTTATAGTCGAGAAAAAATTTTTAAGCCCATAATAAATGCTGTATTGCATTGTAATAAAAAAAGATACATTTTTAATATGTTACTCTACTCATTATTACTTAATTTAAAAAAAAAAAAGAGATTCCCAAAATTAAACTTCAATTGGAAATAATTACTATAAAAAAATATTTTTTTTAATAATTGATCTCATATTGGTGCGTTGGTAATGATTTACCATAGGCACTGTTCTAATCATTGATCATGATAATTAAATTTTACTGACTCTAATCTGCTCAACTTATGCTAAAAATTGAAAACATAAAAAAATCTAATTAATTTATCGCCGTCGTTTGGCTGGTGGAGGCAAGCAATCCTCCCAATTCTCGTTAAACTTAAATTTACTAATAGAATTTATTAAACATTCAGACGTTACCGGCGCGTTAATACTATTTAAAATCGATTGAGCAGTCTTGAACGAATTTGGCAAATATTTATCGGTTCTTTCGCGCATAAATACCCAACGACCGTTCTTGAAACTCCATTCAACTATTTTGTTATCGAGGTGGTGTTTTAAACGCGAGAAATTTATTGTTTATTAATTTGAATTATTTAATTTTTGCGAGGACATGATAACCATCGTGAAGGGATCATCCCTTTACGACTTTCGGAACTTCGGTTTGACATTGTTTCATCACTTCACCTCAACTGTATAAATTAATTATTTCTAATCACAAACACTCACTTTTACTTTTAAATGTTCATTTTTATGTTTTACTTATGCAATTAATATATAAAAACACAATTGCACTTGTATTTTCACAAAAATATCACAGCGAAAATTACACGATGTGCACAGGTTGAGAATCAAATCTCATGTGATTGAAAAACCCTTCTGGTTGGCTAGATAACTAGTTATTGGGCGCCTCCTGGTGGTGAAATGTTACCATGCGCCACCTGTTAGCATATGCAATTATATTTTTACATCTTTATATTTTTTCTTCAAATTTTATTATTATTATTATTATTATTATTATTATTATTATCATTATTATTATTATTATTATTATTATTATTATTATTATTATTATTATTATTATTATTATTATTATTATTATTATTATTATTATTATTATTATTATTATTATCTTACATTTTATAATAATTATTATTATTATTAGAAATAATGGTTTCGTTAATTATTATAATATTCTTACCATTATTATAATTGAATTCAATTTTTTAATATTTCTAATAAAAAATTATACATATAATTATATTAAAACATTCGCTAGAGGTATTTAATATATTTAATTTAATTAAATTATTATAATGGTAGGAATATTATAATAATTAACGAAACCATTATTTCTAATAATAATATAATAATAATTATAAAATGCAAGATAATAATAATAATGATAATAATAATAATAATAATAATAATGATAATAATAATAATGTCTGGCCGAGGGGTGCTCCTCTCGCTACGGTAATGGAATAAGTCCGTACAGCCGGTATTTCCTCCTCACAGGTGATGGCCTTCTGGGCGTGAGGAACGAAACTATCCATCTCGGTTTCGTTAAACATCACCACCTTTGCAGTGGGCTAACCACCTCTGCAAAGGATTTCAACAGGTTCCTACTGATAGACCTACACCGGCCCCCCACAACCGGCCCTCTTCGGATGAGGGCCATGGAACAGTTGGGAGGGGCCTTATGACACGTTCCAATATGGATATAGACCACGGACCACCCCTACAGCGTCTCAGGTGGACAGAGGAGCTGAGACGGGACTTGATGCAGTGTTGGGAGAGATGCGAGCCACAGACCTCAGACTATGCCAGGCGCCTGCATACTCTGTGGTGCGAAATGCACCCAGAGTTACAACATCTAACGCAGGCGGCGCTCGCATCGCAGGTGCGGTATACTCAGTCTCGACGGCGGATAGAAGAGGAGTCAGACTCTGACTCTTCAATATCAAACGCTTCAGAGACTGAGGACGAAGTCTCACTGACACCCGAGACAGCCGCACCGAGGTGGAGCATACTTCCGTACCGCCCTTCTCTCATTGCAGAACCCCCATCTCCTCCCCCTGAGGGCGCCAACCAACAGGACTTTACCAGCAGAGAGGGTAATTTTCTCCGGAAAATTACGCTCTCTGCAGAACATCTAGCTAGCGCCAACCAAGATCTCGACCATCGTTTACCAGATAGTGTAGACCTTTTCGCACTCAACAATGCAGTCTATGATGTGGCTCGAGGGTTTACTTAGGGCAGACGAACACCTGTCAATCCTGAGTTAAGCCTGAAAAGATGCATCGAACAGATTGCAAGTAAGATCAAGAAGGCTCGACAGGGTGCATCTCGTATTCAGAGTGTGATGGATCACTTAAATACTCACAGGCCTTATACGCCAAGAATTCGGCGTATCATGGCGAAGATTAGAGGTGAACATCACACTTTGAATACGGCTGTGTTACTGATCCTAAAGGAGAGGTACACAGGCAAAATAAGATCGCTAATGGCCATTAAAAAGTCATTAGCAAAGCGGTACAAGCGACGAAGGGACAACAGATTGTTCCAATCTGACCCTTCGTGCTTTCTTAAGCCGCAAGCCCCTGTCACTTATGAGCCTCCGAGTGCAGAAAGAGTCGAAACCTACTGGACCGAAATATATGGTCGCGCTAGTGCGCTAGATGTAGACACTCCAGCCCTTCAACTTTTCAGAGAATTCTGTGACGAACATCTATCACGAATTCCTGAAGAGTTTCAACGAGTTAGCATGGATGAGATCAGGAATGCTCTAAGGGGCACAAAGAACTGGGCTGCCCCTGGGCCAGATACAATCCCCACCTTCTGGTGGAAGAAATTGACGTCATCCCACCAGCATCTGGCTCGTATCTTCTCAGAATATCTAGGAGGAGATACACCCATTCCTGGATGGCTCGTTGAAGGGCGTACTGTGCTGATCCCCAAAAGTGGTGATCTGTCCAACCCCAAAAACTACAGGCCTTTCGCATGTCTAAATACTCTCTACAAATTGTTTACGAAGATTTTGAACGAGAGGATTTTGACTGCAATAGAACTTGTATGGAGACAGATAAACGAACAACGTGGCAGCAAGCGTGGCTTGACAGGTTGCAAGGAAAACTTGCTAGTAGACCGATGCGTCACAATGGACGCATACTACTACAAGCGCAACTTGTCAATGGCCTGGGTGGATTACAGAAAGGCATTTGATACAACATCTCACGAGCTTCTCCTCTACTTGCTCGAATGCCTTTCAGTACCCCCACAAATAGTGAGATGCACCGAACATCTGATGCCGCTCTGGAGGATACCGTAACATCTGGTGAAACAAGAGTGTCTACCAGAGCAGTGCCATTTAGGAGAGGCGTATACCAGGGAGATACCCTGAGTCCTCTTCTATTTTGCATCTCACTGCTGCCATTATCTGTCACTCTACCCCGAACGCCTGGATATAAAGCCGGACGAGTCTCCAACCGCGTACACAAAGTCACACATCTATTTTATTGGATGACTTGAAAGTGTACGCGGCAAGTCCTGAGAGACTCCGAACAGCCCTAGAGGTTGTTTCCGAGTATACCAGTGCAATCGGCATGGAGTTTGGGTTAGACAAGTGCGCAGTTGCCCACTTAGGAAAAGGAAGATCGCCGAACTGGAGTAATAATGTCGAGCTTACAGACGGGAGCATCATAAAACATCTGGATGCTGGAGAGTCATACCGATATCTTGGACAGGCACAATCTCCTTTACAGGACGTGTCTGTCATCAAAGATACTCTCCGCAGTGAGTACAAGTAGCGACTTAAGAGGATATCGGGCTCTGAATTATCAGGCCCTAACAAAGTCAAAGCCACGAATATGCTCGCTATCCCAGTCTTGCTATACTCATTCGGAGTTCTCAAATGGCTCCGAAAAGAGCATAAAGATCTGGACATTATCACGAGGAAAGTGATGACATTATATGGAAGTCATCACCCGCGATCTTTTGTCCAACGCCTATACTTTCCCCGTGATCTGGGAGGGCGTGGACTACTAAGTTTGGAGTGTCTACATGACAGGTTAGTGATAGGCCTGGCTAATGACATCTATGAGAGCTCTGATCCTCTTCTCAAGTTCGTGAACAGCTTTGAACTATTGGGAAGGGATGCGTTCCTATATAGAGCAGCATATCAGGCAGCGCAGAACCTCGGCTCAGTTTTCGACCCTAGCAGCCCAGACGGTCTAAGGCTTTTGCAATTGACCGGAGGGCAGCGAAAGGTCGATATAAAAACAACCGAGCAGTTAAAACTGCTCGACGAACATGTGGCAAAGTCCTTACATGGTGTGTTTTACCGTCATCTCGAAACACAGGAATTGTCACACCAGCTGACTTTCCAATACCTTAAGTCAGCTGGCTTGTTCTCTGAGACCGAAGGATTCATTATGGCCTGCCAAGATGGTGTATTACCAATCAATCTAATAATTTATATAAATTATTTATTTTTAAAATTTTATTTAGATATTTTATTTTTAATTAATTAATATAAGATAATAGAAAATTTTAATTTCTATATTATATTTTCAAAATATAAACTTTTTCAAGATCATTATCTAAATTAAATAATCTCAAATTAATTTAATATAATAATCAATAAAATAAGTGAAAAAATAAATTACTATATAAATTTGTCTTAAAATAATAAAAGGATATTCAACAACCTGTATACCCAATCAAGTAAGTATAATTATTACTTAAAAAAAAACCCAAAATAAAATTTAACATTTATTAAATAAATAATTCTATAAAATAAAAAGTTAATATTAGCCACATTATGTAAAGATAAAAATAACCCAGTTAAAATTTGTATAATAATACACTGATAGAAGTATTTCTTTGTAACTAACATAATTTCTTAGCAGCTAATAAATATGTTATTTGAAAGAGAAATCGAATGAAAATTTGTTAACAGTTAAGAAATTATTCATTCGAGTAGATTTATTTGGCTCAATAAATAATTTCTTAGCTGCAAACAAATATTTATTTCTTATATAAATACTATGATTAGGCTCGATGGTAAGGTAGAATGACGGTAAAGCATAATCAAATGTTAGGTTATGTCATGAAATAACTTTTATTTATTGAAAATTTTTAAATAAAAAAAAACGGTTTCGTAATGATTAAAATTAATATTTTCTTTTAAACAATAGCTCGACAAGCTATTACATGATAACCATTTAATTCCGTGTGAATTTTTAATGGTTTTATAAATATAATAATATTAGGCAGCTGAGCAAAGAAGATTTATTAGCTACGAATAAATCTTTATTTGTATCAAATAAATGCTGAAAAATAATTTTAATGAATTCATTTAGTCCTAGCAAATAAATTCTTCTATTAGTGTACCCGATTCTAAGAAAGAACCAAAATTTCAAAAAATATTTAAATTAACTGGACTTGGTAAAATAATTAATATACTATTAATTAAATTTAAAATAGAATCTTTTTTTATAATAGTTTTATTCATTAATTAATTAAATTTACGTAAAGGAATTAAATTTCTTATGCATAAAAATACAACAAATGTTATTGTAAAAAACAAATGTAATATTAAAAAAATATTTATATCTAAAAATAAATTTATATATAATCTTTTCAAATTATAAAAATATTCTTTATCATTAACCAATAATAGTACATTGTGACAAGGGCGGAAAATAGACGATTGCGAGAAGGCGGCGCTCAGCCGCCTGAGTGTGCAATCGGCTACCGCCCGTGTTGCACATACTATTTTTTTCCACAAATGCGGATAAAGAGCAGGAGCAAGGTGGGGGCGGGGTGGGATCCGTAGGGGGTGCAACGGGGGGTGCGGAGGGCGGAGCCCCCTGCACCAAAAAAAACAAAATTTATAAAAAAAATTTATTTTTTATTTTCAAAACAGTTTATTCATTTTTCTTCGCTTTTTCACCAACATATATATTTACATTACAGTTGGAAATCTGGAAAATCACATTTTTTTCACCAATTAATTTATTCAAATCGATTCTTTTTTCTCCCTCGATATTGTTTATTATTGCTGGCGGTTGATTTAATAATGTTGGTGGACAGCGTGAAGTAGATGGTCCTGGTTGATAATATGTTGTTAATGGACGGCTAGAAGTCGATGGTCCTGGTTGATTTAATGACGTTGATGAACAGCTAGAAGTCAATGGTTCTGGTTGATAATATGATGTTGATGGACAGCTAGAAATCGATGGTTCGGGTTGATTATCTGTTGCTGGTGGACAGTTCGAAGTCGATGGTGCACGGAGAGAAAAATCATATAATTTTTGTAGAGAAAATTTCAGAAAAATTACCATGCTCTCTTATAATGCGTGCGCGATCGACGACCAAAGTAAAAAGTATTTTACGATCATGTAAATATTATTAAATTGAAACGTAAATATTATCAAATTGAAACATAAAGAGTATTAGTCATAGCTTCATAAAAATTGTTGTGCTGGCATGGTAAAATTTAATGTGCTGTATTAGAAAACTTCCTTATCGATTTAGTAAAATTTCTAAGTATGCTTAACAATATTTATATATCAATGTATTAATTTCTCTACAGCTTATTATTTATTTTTGATTCAAAAAAAGGCTGTAACGTAAAAAATTAATAATGTTTTTTTGATTTAGGGTAATTAAGGAATCGCGGTTGAATTTGATAATGATAAAACACTTTTATGAATTATTAAATATATCTTTATTCAAATTAAAACCAATTTTTGAGAATAAATTTCGCACCATTAGATGCTCTTTCAAGATTCGTAATCTTAAAGCTAAATAGGTCATCCAAATTTAGTACATCCCACGTATACTGATCGTTGTACAATCGATAACATTCAGTTTTTTTCGTAGAGGAATGTACTTATTAATTTTTTAACAATAAGACATACTTTAATATTGCTACAAACTATAATATTATCTAAGTGCCATCTTTATGGCACTTAGAGAACTGTTTCTAATTGTCTATCTTTTTCAGGGCTGAGTATAAGTCTGCTGAGTAAATTTCTTAAGGTTTTCTTCAAGCATTCATTATCTCGATAATATTTTAAAACACTTTTGCCATCAGCTGAATTTAATAAAAGTTGGTATATAGGCTGTAAAAAAAATTTTTAAATATAAATTATTTGTCCTTTGTTCAAATAGTTATTGATCATAAGTTAATGACACTCACGTTGTTGATAATTTCTGGACGTTCAAAATGCCCTTGTAAATCCTGTAAGATAAAACTATCTAAAAATTGAGAAAGAACACAATTGACTAGTAATTGAAAAAAATGACAACGGTTAAAAACACTGGAAAATGACTACTTTACTACAAAAACCATCATCTTTTGATCACTTATAATTAACGAAAGAAAAATTTTTCAATTTTAATAAATAAATCCACTATTTCACTAACACTGTTAACACTTTTGCACTTTACAAAAGTTGAGTTTGAACAAAAACTGATTCGATATTTTTAATTGTTGTCATTTTTTCGACAAGAAAAGGCTCAGAAGTTGTGTTGTGGGAGTTAGACTATTTAGTATGAACTACTTACCATTTTACTGTAAATAAAAAATAATACCAAAATCAGTTAATTATTTAAGAAATGAATAATAGATATTATGAATGTTAAATAGTAGTTGCTATTAAAGTTTGTGAAAGATTACTTACGTCGTTACAAAATGACGCACTTTTATGTGTCACTGTATAATGTATCACTCTCTATTGATAACACAGTCAATTACGTACTGAGGAACAATAAACGTATTCAAACCTGCTTCGAAAAACTTCGAAGATGCCCGATCTTTTCCGACCTTCGATTCTTTCTTATGTTAATAGCAGAATGCACGTTGTTTTAACTTAATAGTAGAATATCTCGAAAACTATGAATCCGAGATCTAGACATAATGCGTACAATTTTTAGAAAATCGCTTTACGAACAAAATGACCCCTTATAGGCTTCTCTACGATTAATAGTTAATGAGATATCATTTTTTTTGTTTAAAATAATTCTCATGCTCAACAGCGTTGATACCTTCTTTCTCTTTCTTTCTTTCTACTATTAGCAGATAGCATTTGAAAAATTATAAGACAGCATGGTAAAATATATTAATTCGTCTAGGACTCTATGGCAGCTTAAATAGTAATTTTTGTAAGAAAAACAATTAAAAAATATTTTTCTGTCGGGAATGGAACTTTTTACTGTGCTGTTTTACAAATTTTACAAAGCTGAATTTTAGGAAAGAATATTTTATCCTTTAAATTTTCTATGATTAATTATAATTTTTATATTTTTGCCGTACAAAATTGACTATGTTCGGCTTTCACACGTCGATTGTAGTGCTGAGCACAGTAATTTTTCTATGAATTTTCTCTCCGTGTGGAGGTTGCTTTATTATGGCGTTCATTATTTGATTTCCGACTCGTTTTTTATTTTGAATGGAATTTTCAATGTAGCCTTCAGTTACAGCATCGGATTTCCATCCTCCAAGATTTTTCAACTCCCTGTTATTAGCTCCTGTATCAGCTAGAATGATCGCTGCAGTCCTCCTAAACGTATGCCCCGTATATAATTCTGGATTGTCTAGTTTTAAATAAGTAGCTACGACCTCAGCCATGTTCCCCAAACTGTTAATTCCTATTACTTGGGATGTACATTTCCCTTTTCGGTAATTTAGGAAAAATCTTTGAGTAGTCACTTTAGGTGGACGGAGTGATGCGTAAGTTTTATATAATTCGTAAAATTGTCCCTGAACAATGAAAGATCTTGGTTTATCATTTTTGGTCCTAGGAACATTGACTATGATCATGTCCCCTTTATCTATGATGTTATCGATGGTAGTGTCACACAATTCTTGTCTCCTGCGTGCACCAGACACTCCAAAAATCAAAGCAACCTGTTGAATAATCAATTGATAAATAATATTATCACTACTTTATTATCTTTTTTATGTTAATTTGTTGAAAAGTACGTACCTTTATTGCGAGAAATTCACAATTTGGGGCTTCAGTAATGAATTGGTCAATCTCCTCCGTATTCAACACCTTCGATTTTTTAGGTGTGTAACCTTTATGCTTTTGTTTTAAAAAAGCAATTACACCCGCATGATCATGGATGTTAATAGCGTGTCTTAGGTGAATCACATATCGTAGCATCGAGTACACTGTCCACAAACTTGATGATTTCAGATTTTCTGACAAAGACTAAAATACGCTATGAAAACTGTTTCTGATAGCGAATTAATTTTATTTTTTGCTCGTCAATTCATAAATTTTTCATAAACTTGTTCATACTTGTCTCGGGATTTGACAGATAGCAAATTGTTCCGAACTTCGTTCGCCCGTTCAACAATTTCACTGGGTAATGCTTCTTCATTACTCGATGGATCACTATCGGGAATTATATCCGTTGGATTCATGATCACTTGTTTTTTCAATCTTTCACAATTGCGCACACTTGTTTTTAAAATTTCAAATAAATCGAACTGTTTTGGACACGAGATGTCTAAAGACTGTCTCTTAAATGTCTCTTCAAATTGTTTGAGGATAAATTTTTGCTTTTAGGGAGGAAACGATGATGAAAAAAATTAGTGGAAGAAATTCGTTGTGGATTTGAAAGTTTATTTTAGGAGGAGATGATAATAAATTATGGTAAATAAATGAATCTTTGAAACTTATTATGAGCATATTTTCAGTTAAAAGCCATAAAACAATAAAATTCAATTGTAAATTTCTTTCAAATACTATTTTTCTAATCCCTAGACAATCTAAAATGCTCCATCAGTTTTGTCTTAAAGTAGTATTTATTGAAAACAATCTAAATCCTTATTTTCAAAAACGCGCTTAAGGCTTGAAAAATGTTTAAAGCATCCATATTATTCATACTAATAAAACAATAAAAACTACTCAAACTTGAAGGTTTTTTGAAGATTTTCAGATTAGGAAAGAGCGTGTTTTATTTCTATGTTAAAATTTCTGTTCGACAACGACAGATGGCGCAGGGGCCATTTGCCGTGTTTTATTTTGGGCCAGCGTGTTTTATTTAGGAACAGGGGCCATTCGTGGGAAATTGGACATTTACCGACCGAAAACCCATACGATAAACAGGCATTTTCACCGCATGTGTGGTAAAAAAAATATTCTCTCATTTCAAAATTTATATTCAAATCAAAAACTATATTAAATGAAAAAATTCTTAATAAATATAAAAATATCTCTAATTTAAAATTTTTTCAAAAATATAATAATTTTTAACTTCCCAGTGGGAAGTTATAGTAATGGGTCCGAATTTGCGAATCCTGAATTTTGACATATCTCCACGTTTCAAGGTCCCCAGAGTCGAATACGATCGTTTTCCAGTAAACGTCTGTGTGCGTGTGTGCGTATGTACGTATGTGCGTTCGGAATTATTTTTCGCCTCGATTATCTTGAGAACAAAAAATGATATCGATGTAGGACTAATTGCATTCGACGCGTAATTATGTAACTCAGAATTGATTAGATTTTCAGCAAAATCGGTCCAGCCATTTTTTTTGCAGAACAAAAAAACTAGCAAAAATGGAAAATGAACTGAATTTCTCAATTTATAAATTATACCATTTTGTTCAAAAGAGTATTACAAAGATGTTGAGTTTTAATTTCGGATTTTTAATATGCTTTAACTTCAATGAAGTCAGTATACAAAAGCAACGATGAGTGATGAGAGCTGATCAGCTAACCGAGGATCCGCGAGGTGAGCACTGGATGAGCTGGCTGCTGATGACAAGTAGCTGAAAAAAGAGAGAGAAGATTGCTGTCTGAGTTAGACAGTTGAATCAACTGTCCCAGGGTGTAAACCTGGACAGGTCGAGGGCGGCTAGGGAAGGATGATTGACATCTTCCAGCGAGCCTTGATGTCTCTAGTAGAGACCTTGATAATAATTGGCTGTCTGAGTGATAAGCAACTCAACGTTACTGTCCTAAGTTGTAAGCCTGGACAGGTCATCAGTGGCTAGGGAAAGGATGATGAGAATCATCACTTTATAGCTAGCTGATCAATATGATCTTTAGGGAAGATCAGGGATTGACGTGGAGTCGATCTAGTGGCTCGACCCAGCCAAAAGACTAGATAGCGTCATTTTAGAGGAGCTTGTCTATATGCAGACCTCAATTCAGAAGACAAATGATCTCTTACCACACTGTTGAGCTTCCTGGACCTTTCGTGAGAATAGTAGAAACAGCGAACTTAGTTGCTTCACCCAAAGGTTGTTCATCAGCATTGAGGGGTGATATGATGACCAGTGTAAGACGAAGCCTTGATATGTCACAAAGGTCACAAAGACAACACAAATGGAAACAAATCCACCAAGACAACTCACGAAAGATTAGAACAAACACAACGAATACAAGAAACGATAAGAATAGAAGTAGACTCGGGTGAAACTCCTAAGGAGCTGGCCATTGTCCAGCTCTATCTTTGAAGGTTTTTTCCAAGTAGAGGGAAAATGGGCCTTGTAGGGGTAACTCGCGATAAGAGTAGAAGGAAGAGAGGTGGTAGAAAATTTCTCACCCAGAAGAAAGTAATAAAAAGTTTGGGTAAATCCTTTTGCCACATGTGGGTTTAAAGGATTCAGGAAGTTCTCAAGTTTATGATTAGGACATCTGGAATGGCTTGGAGATCAGGAAATGTGGCTTACTTATGGCAGGAGTTGATTTTATGATTTAAACACATTTTCTTTCTATACGAGCCATTTTTTATTTTTTAACATTCCCGCCTGCCTTCGTTGACACCGGCGACGACCATGATTCCGAAGTTATGTTAAGTGGGCAAAGTTTAACAATAGGTTTTGTAAATGTTGACGTGCTGGTTTTCACTGTCGCTACTCGTGCAACTCCGTCAGATCCTTGGTAGAGTTTTTTAACTCGTCCTAATGGCCACTTAGGTGGAGGGTACCGTTCGTCGGTGATCAACACAATACTTCCTTCTTGGATAGAGTTGGATTCTCTTCTCCATTTGTAAGTGGTTAGGTATCTTTGAAGATATTCTGTGGACCATTTGTTCCAAAAGCTTTGTATTGAAGAAAAATATGGGCTCGGACTACGTCCACTCTGCCCTCTACAGTACAAAACTAGTTTTACAAAAATACAAATTCAAAATAGACTTTTAGATTCCTTTAACAATATTTACCTTACATTCTAAACAATACTGACATCTCTTATGCTAAGTACCCCTGAGACCATCTTGACCGCAATGAGATCTTTAGTTTACGAAAAGACTATCTAATCACTAACTCAAGAGTACATATGGTCTATCAGGTACATACGTATGCACTTTGATATACTTATGGCGCGAAATTCAAATTTAAACTTAAATAAAACAAGGTATACTCATAATAAATCGACATAACTCCGAAACAATACCAATTGACATAGTTTGCAAAAATGGTTTGATGCTGTAAGGAGGAAAAACCTTCATTTTAATTAAGTTCTTAACTAAAAATTTTCTTTGGTCCTCATATAATGGGCATTGCCACAAAACATGTTCATCATTTTCCTCCTCACCGCATTCACAATTAGGAGACTTTACAATTTTAAATCGATATAAGCTAGAGTACGCGTGATTAGATACGACCCTGTATTTATCTTTGGCTTCATTTTAATAGCCTGCAAAACACTCCGAGCGTCTGCAAAGATAGCAAATTTTGTCCTTTCAGACTGAGATATTAGCATCAACGTTTCTATGATGGCTAAAGCTTCTGCTGAATAAATTGATGCGAACGTCGTGGTACGCCATTTAAACGTTGTCCCATCATTCCCTCTTACTACTGCAAACCCTACAAAAGGTTTGCCCTCCATCTTTGACCCATCAGTAAAAAACCACTCTGCTTCTTCCAACAGATCTCTAAATATCTTATCAAATTCACGGTTCTTATCTTTAGACTCTTTGATTCTATACCCTTCTTCAAATGAGACTGCAGGATCAAACCAGAGTGCTTGATACTCATACTTAAAACATAAAGAAATTTTAGAGGCTTCCAGTAAGTGCCCAACTTTGTCTATATCTTGATAGCACTCTATAATTGTTGGCATCTTGTTACGGCGTACAACTGTTACCCTCTCCCAGGAAGACAACAACCCCTCGAGAATCGGTACAAGCTGGTGACTGCTACTAGTAAACACTCTAGAAATATAATTTCTACCTAAATATCTGAACCTGCACTCAAGAGGTGGTTCTTGAGCTTCTGCTAACATAACATTTACCCGAGTGGATGCTCTGTAACCGAAAGCCAGTCTTATGGCTTTGTATTGAACTCTATTCAATTTTTCCATATATTTATCTGGTACATTACACATCAAGAAAGCAGTATACTCTATCCTAGCTCTAATTAAAGCTCTATATAATCTCATTAGCACCACAGGGTCGGCACCCCACCAAGTACCCCTTAAACAACTGATTATTGCCAGCGGATTCTGACATTCAGAACATATTGCCTCTATCTGGGGGATCCAACTTAAAGACTCCTCCAATATCACTCCCAAGAACTTGACCGTACAAGAAGAAACTATGCTTTTATCACCAATTTGAAGGGACCAGTTATACCTGAGTCCCTCCTTTTCAAAAACAACCAATTTGCTTTTATCGGGAGCAATTTCCAGCCCACTAGCCTTTAAAAAACTATTTCCTACTGAAATAGCCTCTTCCAGAATTCTGATCGCTCTTGGAACTGATTTGAAAGATTCATTTATGTCTTCAAAGTTAAATTCTAAATGTCTAGCTGCAACTAGATTGTAGATAAATTGTAAAGTAAGCCTTGGAATGCCAATATCCTGGAGTCCCTCAATGAGGACATCTGCCAACACATTATCGTAAGCACTCTTTATATCAATAAAAGCCGCTACTACCGACTCGGTATCTTCAAATGCCGAAAGAATTTCAGAGGTAAGTATCGCTAAATTATCAATACATGACTTCCCCCTTCGAAAACCAAATTGAGAAGAAGGCAAAAGATCATTGTATTCTAACCACCAGCTCAGTCTGTTGTTTATCATACGCTCTAGCACCTTAAGAACACAAGAAGCTAGTGAGATTGGTCTCACTCCTTTACCGTCGCCTTTTGAAATAAAAAAAATACGATATCTCCTCCATTCATCCGGAAAACTTCCAGTTGAAAAAATCTCATTGAAGAGACGTAATAATTCCTGCTTAGCTATCATTGGGAGTTCTCGAAGAATTCTGTAGTCTATTTTATCAATACCTGGGCTAGCTCTGACTCGAACGAAAGCCAACGCATACTCTAATTCCTCCATCAAAAAAGGAAGATCCAAAAATTCATCACCATAGTCTTGAAGCTGCGGGATTGAGGTTGAAGCCCACGGAGGGCACAACGAAGAAATAGCTTGTCGAACTCTATCAAGAACTTCTGGCTTACCTTCCTTCTTCCTCGTTGATGAAGTCTGTTTATTCTGAAAGCACTTGATTCTCTTCCAAATATACGACGGATTGGTAAACCTAGTTAAACCTGAACAAAAATTCCTAAAACTTTCTCGTCTGATTCTTTTGAGTCCACTTTTAACATTGGCTTCCGCCTTTTTATAAGTAATGAAGTTACTCGCACTACTATCGAATTTGAACTTAAGCAAGGCAGCTTTCCTGAGTCTTATGAGTCTACTACATTCTTCATTCCACCACACACATGTAGGGTTACTTTTACGTCTTGGATTAAGGCCCTGTGAATTAGCACGACCCCCCTAATTATTCTTATTCTCAAGACATTCTTGAAGGATACTGATAAACGAGGAATAACTGATCTGACTATCAAGTTTCTTTTCTCTATGTTGTGAAGACTGAATATTTAACAGCCTATGCTCTACTTTATCGGCAAAAACCTTCCAATCAGTGTTGAGGGTATACAGACGAGTTCTATCTTTCACTTCATCCCTTTTTCCTGTTTTAACACTCAATTCAATAAATATGGGATAGTGGTCACTACCCCATGGGTCGTCCCCTACATTCCAATCACAAGATAAAAGCGTCTGGCTGTCTGACAGTGATAAATCGATTGCAGACTCAGTTAAATATTGACGAGATCAAAAGGTTTTCTTACCCGTATTCAAAACTTGGACTCTAGAAGACTCCATTGCATCGACTATTCTATTTCCCATCACCAAATTACGGCTATCTCTCCAATAACTATGATGAGCGTTAAAATCCCCCATAATGAGAAAGCGACCATTAAATTGTAAGAAACATTTTTGAGTCATAAATGACAGATCCTGCCATCTGGAAAGTCGTGAGACCTTTAGGTGTTGGAGGTTCGGTTCTGGAATTAAGTTGATGGCGTGACCAACGAAGAAATGTCCTGGTGTAAGCACGTCTAGATCATTGGGATCATTAATAAGTGGGCACAATGGTCTAGAGTTGAGAATTCCTTCGACTTGGCACAATATTGTTGAGAATTCTTCATAGGTTAAAAGCGTTTCTCCTACAATTCGATGAAGGTGGTGTTTCATCGATTTGACACCTGCCTTCCACTTTCCTCCAAAGTGGGGCGATGATGGAGGGTTGAAGATCCATTTAGTGCCTTTATCGGAGAGAATTGAGCTGATTTGTTGCAATTCAGTAGTGTTGACTGAAGAATTGTCTCAACTGAGCGTCAGCTCCTTTAAAATTTGTCCCACAATCACTGCTTAGTGTTGCACAAATGTCACGTCGGGATATAAATCTTTTGTAGGCTGCTATGAAGGCGTCGGTGACGAGTTCTCGATGGAGTGCTGATGTTGATAGGCAGAGAAACCCATGATTTATAAGTTCTAGCTGAACGACCTCTCCACGTCTTGGTGATAAATGGTCCAGCATAGTCAACATCTGAGTGCAAAAATGCTCGACCTGGTGTTACTCTAGACGGTGGGAGTCGGCCTATGATGTGAGTTGCAGTTTGAGCTCGATACCGAATGCACTTGGGGCAACCTTTGATGAAGGCTTTAATGGGATGCCGTTCTCCAATGATCCAGAAGTTCTGTCTAATATATGCAAGAGTTTCCTGTGTTGATCCGTGCATGGTCTTTTCGTGAGCATTTCTGATGATGAGTGTTGATAGTTTGGATTCTTCTGGTAGGATGTACGGATGCTTTAAATTAGTTGGCAAAAGTGAGTTGCGAAGTCTTCCACCAACTCGCAGGAGACCCTGTTGGTCGATAAATGGGAACAGTTTGATCAAAGGGTGAGATTTAGGTAGATCCATTGATCGTCGTAACAATGATAATTCGGTCATAAATTTGTGTTGTTGAATGACTCTGACCCAATACTTAGTAGCGTCTTCGAGTTCGTCTGGAGTGAGAGGAGAGTTGATTCCTGGTGATGAGAGCTTTTTGAATCTGTTGATAATTTTCGACACATTGCCGTCATCCTGATTAGTTTGTTTTAGAAAGAGAATCTGTACAAAAGCTCCCAGCTGGTTGACATCATTGTGGTGTGAACAACAACTGGTGTTAATGATGGTCGTTTCTCTAAGTCTTCTGGGGCGTGTTGTTTTCTTTTTGCGGGCATGTTTGGCCAATTAGCAGGTTCTTGTTGTAGCCATGAAGACCCGTTCCACCAAAGTGGATGGTTTTTTAATTCCGTTGAGCTAACACCTCTAGTAGCACAGTCTGCAGGGTTTTAGTCTCCAGAGACGTGGCTCCACTGTGCGTTCGGGGGCATTTCTTGAATCAAGCAGACTCGATTGTGGATGAACTCTTTCCACCGTGACGGGTAGTTCTCAATCCAGGTGAAGGTGATGGAGGAGTCTGTCCAGAGGTAACACGGTGCTTGCCGTAGTTTTAAAATTTCAATGCATTTAGATGTTAACTTTGTTAACAGAACAGCTGCTGATAGTTCTAAACGAGGGATGGTGAGACGTTTCAGTGGTGCCACTTTTGTCTTGGAGCACATGATATTGGCGATAATCTTATCGTTTTGGCGAGTAACGCAGTAAACAACTGCAGACATAGCTAGTTGCGACGCGTCGCAGAATCCGTGAATTTCAACAATTGACGTTGATAAGATTCCAAGCCAGCGAGGAATGCTGATGGTATCTAAACCTTCCAATGAATGGAGAATGGTCGTCCATGTCTTATGTTGAGTTGGAGGAAGTTGATCATCCCAGTGCAACTTAATAGCCCACAGCTTTTGCATAAAGATCTTGGTGGTGATGAAGATGCATGGAGGAGACTGTTGATTGGCTGACCATCCATTGTTTTACATGATCCGTTGAAAACAACTCTTAGTTTGGTTGTTGTGCTAGACTCGCGCTTAACGCCATGATGTGGTAGAAAAAATGATGAAGTTAGAGATAAAGTATTGTTAGGAAGTCGAACCATATGTCCAAGTTGCTCATATTCATGGAGAAAAGCTGAATAGAGTTGATAATATTCAGGATCGTTGGTAAATTTTCTTTGAAGATTGTAAAGCATTCGAGTAGCGGATGGTTTTGAGTTTCCTAAGTTGCTGCTGTCTGTTTTGAATGGAAGTCTCACTATGTACTGTCCTGTTTTTGGGTTTCTTGAATAAGTTTCTCTAAAGATTTTCTCACATTCTTCATCTTCAGTTGATAGATGTTTTTTAGAGGATCTAACTTCTTCTTGACGCCAGAACTTCTCTAACAGCTCATGAAGATTGTGGTCGACTGAGCAGTGATGTACTATAGCATGTTGAGCGTCTCGGGAACTGCTAGCTGGGCCTGAGATGATCCAACCTAATTTAGTCAGCTGAACCGTTGGGCTCTGGGAGCTTGAACGATCTTCTCTTTCAATAACAGTCCATAGGTGTCAGCTCCGATAATGATGTCTATCGTTCCAGGCTCAGCAAAATTCGGATCTGCTAGACACAAATCTTTGGTGTGGTTCCAAGTTCTTGATTGGGTTTTTTGAGCTGGAATCGTTGACTTGCGGAAGAATGTGCGCATTTAAGATACATTAACATGTTGACTCAAAATGTGGTTGAATGATGACTGCAGCAATTCCTTTAGTTTTCCCAGATTGTTGTGCGCCAACTCCAATGATGGGAAGTGATGATGGTCTTCTTTTTAACTCTAGTTGTTGAGTTTTTTAGAGATTAATGATATCTCTGATCCTTGATCCAGGAGAGCACGAATGTGCATCGTTTTTCCCATGCTATTGGAAGCTCTTATTTGAGCGTTTGCTAAGATAACTTTTGATGGAGTTGATTCTGATTGGTTTTGATACAGTGAACTATGGTATTTTTCACCACATATTTGGCATCGAAAGGTCGACTGACATCAAGACCGTTGTAACAGAGTTTGTTTTTCTTGATGAAGTCAGTCTTTTCTCGAACAGTTTTGCGCTGGTAGGTGGGGCATCGAAACAGCTTGTGGTTCGCTGAGCATAGTTGGCAGGAATCAGTAGATTTCTTTTCATTCTTGTTTGGTTGGTGACTGACAAAATGGCTCTTAAGTCCCGGACGTTGACTCCGTGGAGAAGATACAGCTTTTCTTCCGTGAGAATTTTCGATAGCTCTCAGGGTTCTTGATCTTGAAATGATGAATGATTGCAGCTTGTCTCATGTTGGTGGTTCATCTGAAGATCTAATATGCTGCTCCCATGCTCTTATAGACCTGGAGTTTAGTTTTTGGCGCACAATTATGTAGACTAAGATGTCGTCCCAGTACTCAACAGGTCGTCTAAACTCTTTTAAATGAGGACTGAAATGGGGAAATCCTCTGAAAATTTCAAAAGTCACGTAAACATACTCTAAAATAGACAAAACTAGCTTTTTTCTGAATGAATATGTACAAATCTAATTGTAAACTACCAGAACTTTGAAAGAAGTCTTGAACTATTTTATAGTACTTCTATCTTCTAATGGTTTTCCCCATTTGAATCATCATTTACAAGTGCCCAGACACGAAAGAGATAACTCTTGCAAATTTATTATTATTCAAGTAGAAATTTCTATTAAAAATAATTTTATTTTATTTATAAATCTTAAATTTATTGCACTAATCTGCCATAATAGAAATTTATATTAAATAATTCATATCAATTTAGGATTTTCATCAAAACAATGATTTCTTGAAGGAAAATTTTTGAATCATTCTAATAGAATATGAATAAATTTTTTAAATAAAATTAATCGTTTTATAATTAATCTTTCAATAATAATATTAAAAAATATAATTATTGAAACTAAAGTTATCATTGAACCAATTAATGATCAAATATTTCAATATCTATGTAAAAATCCAAAATCCACCAATTATTACTGGTATAACTATAAAAAAAATTTTAATAAAAGAATGTAATGCTACAATTCTATTAAATAATTAATCATTTATGAATAATCTTCCTAAAATTCTTTTTCTTCTAAATAAACCATTTATTCATTAAATAAAGTATTTGATTTAAAAAATAAAATTTAATATGATTCGTAAAAATAAACATTGAAAATATACCAATCAATAGAGAAAGTATAAAATAAAAAATCAAATATAAATTATTTAAATATAAATTATAATTATAAAATTTTAAATTTATAAAATTTATAATTATATAACAAATCATTTAAAACTAATAAATTCATGAATGAAAAAAATATTATTGAACTAATAGAATTAATTAAATAATATTTTATTGGTAAATCATATATATATTTATTGTTTAAAATAACATAAGTTAAAAATATAAATATATTTATTTCTATATTACTTGCTAAATTTATTCAACTATTTATAAAAAAAACCAATCGAAGGATTGATTAATAATAAAATAAAAATTCAATTATTTAATTTTTTTATAATTTAATGTTTAAGCATAAAAATTTTTGAAATTTTCAGTAATAGTTTATACTATTAATTATAAAATTTAAATTTTTTTTAATTCATTCGAAATTTTGAAAATTTATAGTTTAGTATACATTATAAATAAATTTTATTATAATATTCTTACCATTATAATAATTTGATTAAATTTTTAATATTTCTTATAAAAATTTTTATATATAATTTTATTATTAATATATGTTATACTACAATATTCTCCCTATTAAATTATTTATTTATGGTATAAATTATATTTTTATATCTTTATATTTTTTCTTCAAATTTTATTATTATTATTATTATTATTACTATTATTATTTTTTAGTATCTGGCCAGGGATCCCAGGGCTCCAACCCACCTGAGGCCTGACCAGTCGGGATTATCCTGCAGACCCCCGACTCC